AGAAATTCATCAAGTGAATCAGACTCCCAATAATCTGAGCATACCTAGACTGACCAACTGGGCCACCACAATTATTTTTCAAGTAAATGCTAGAGTCATAAGGAGTACTCATATGTGTCACCTCAATATAATTAAAATTCTTAAGAAGTCTTTCAACATAATAATGTACTTGTGACAACATAATACCATCGTTTCTCCTCATGACTTTAACACCCAAGATCATTTTTGTTTCACCCAGATCTTTCATATCAAAATTAGAAGACATGACACATTTAATACTATTCACAATTTTTAAACTAATACCAAATATAAGCATGTCATCAACATATAAGCGAATAATCACACAGTCACTATTTACCACTTTAGTGTATACACACTTATCCACTTCTACAGTTGAAAATCCTTCTCTCAATAAGACTTGATCAAATTTCTTATGCCGATGTGTCGGAGCTTGTTTAAGACCATATAAAGATTTAAATAATTTACAAACTTTATTTTCTTGTCTTACAACAACACATCTCTCAGGTTGTAATATATAAATTTTTTCTTCTAAATCACCATTTAAAAATGCAGTTTTGATATCTATTTGATGAATAAAAAGTTCAAGGATAGAAGATAAAGCAAATAAAACTCGAATTGAAGAAATTCTAGTTACAGTTACAAATATTCAATGTTTTGTTTTTGTTTCAACACATATTTCACATTTAGCCATATTATCATAGTTAATGTCAGAAATCAAATCAAGGGATTGCATTTGCTTTATATAACGAATACTGGCATGTCCTATCTAGCATGCCATAAAGAGAAAGAGTCAACAATATAAGCAGGAGTGGTTAGATTCTCATTGACAACATTAGAAACACTGAGTACAAACAGACCCAGATTACAGTAACCTTTATCTACAAACACATTATTTTTAGTCATAACAATATGATCAGACTCAAATGACATTTTGACACTGGCTTTGCTAGCAAGCCAGCGGAAACCAAATTTGTTCTTATTGTAGGGACATGCAACACATCATTAAGGACCAAGGTTTTCCTGAAATAAGTTTCAGGATCACTTTGCCTTTACCCAAACCCTTAGTGGTATGTGAGTCTCCAGGATAGACAACTTCTTCATCATCCCCCACAATAGTGTAGGAGGTAAATGCTTCTCGATTCGCACCTATGTGCCGAGTAGCCGCAGAGTCTATTACCCATTCTTTCACGTTTGTTGCAATGTGCATCTGAGAAATTACCGCAGCGAAAATATCATCTCCTTCAGTTAAATTAGCTTTAGGAGGAGTTCTTTACGTATGATTATTTCTCACTCTATTCCTGCATGGTGCATCATGGTGATTTGGTTTTTCACCAGCAAAACAATTCCTTTTTCTTTTCTTAAAATTGGAATTATTAGTTATATTCAAGGGTTTGTTCTCATACCCATGCTTACCGTTCTTACCTTTCTTACCTGAACAAGGTTAGCACACTGAGCCATCTCCTTGGCTTTGGCAGTGTTGGTTGCCTTTTGGTTGGTATCTTCAATTAAGATATGCATGTGTGATGAGTTCGTTAAGGTGGAAGATTTGTGTTTGTGTTTTAGGCTATTTTTGTAATCATTCCATGAATCGGGTAACTTTTCAATGAATGTCCTCGTTGCAAATTTCTTTGGAAGTACAATCTCCTCAGCTTTCAAATCTTCAAGTAATTTTTGGTATTCATTAGTTTGGATCTTCATCTCCTTCTTTTCAGACATGTGCCACTTGTAGAACTTGCCCACCACAAACTTTTGCTGTGATATCTTCTGTTGTGTACTTTTTGATCAGTGCCTCCCAAATTATCTTGCATCCTTGTAGTTACGATACACGTCAAACAGCTCATCAGAAATGGTTTGTAAAATAGTATGGCGACAAATCTTATTTTCATGTGATCATAGTTCTAGTGTTTTGGCATCAGCAGTTGTATTAGGCTGTGGATCAACAAGAGCGTAGCTAACTCCATGAATATCAAGTAGAGAGTAAATGGAATCTTGCCATCTTTTGAAGTTTTTATTGGCAAAAACCTCAATTTTTGAGACATCGGGAAAGTGTTTGGCAAATGGTAGTGCCATTGGAATGGTAGTTGAAAGTGACACCTTCAGTGATGGGGTTTGAAATGCTTGAGCAGCATTAGCACCAGTGGCAACATCGTCGGTTGGGATATCATTGGAAGCCACAGTTTCTTTAGATTGTTGGGGGTAAAGCTCTGAAAATGCTAAATCAATAACAAATAAAACACTTGATTCGTGCAAACTGCACTGTCCTAAAGAAACTATTTCGGTTTAACAAAATGTTCCCCCAAGATAAAACAAGCCTTCCTCTTTTAAGTTTAGAGGGCACATAAACTAACAAGTATATGGATCCAATATTTGAGTAAGATTGAAAGTAGAAGAGAAAGGCTTTAGAGAAAACTTGCTTAAGGAACATTTAGGATTTTAGAAAAGTGAGAAAGAAACGTTTTTTCTTTGTTTTGGTGTGTTTAGCTGCTACGTAATATTTATAGGACAAAATCTTGTTGGTTTAAATTGCTTTTTTTTTTTTGCTGCGAATAGTTAGAGGAATAAATTTGAATATTTCTACTGCGAATAGTTAGAGGAATATATAGAAGATGTCGGAGACAGAGCCATTGAAGGACTACACAGATCGATTGATGAAAGTAGTCAACAAAATCAGACTTTTGAGAGAACAATTTCCTGATAGCTGGGTCATTGAAAAAATTTCGGTAACTTTGCCAGAAAGATTTGAGTCTAAAATTTCTTCTGTTAAAGAAACTAGAGATTTATAAGAAATATCTCTAGCGGAATTACTTTCAACCTTTGAAGCTCAAAAACAAAGAAGAGTTTTCATAAAGGAAAAAGTAGATCATGTCATTGAGGAAATTTATAAAGTGGACCAAATTAGTAAAGGTAAAAGGTAGATCAGGAAGGTAGTTGGAGACAGTGACAGCAAAGGAGAATATCCTCCTTTTAAACACTGTAAGAAATCTTCTCATTTATCACAGTATTGTTGGTTTAGACCTGATGTTCAATGAGGGGTTGCAAACAAATGGACATATGGAAAAAGTGTGCAATAACAATCAACAAATTAATTTTGTGAATCAAGAAGATGAAGATGAAGTTGAGAATGAAGACTTGATTTGGAGATGCAGGGACTTGCCGTAAAAAAAAAAAAGAGAAAATTTGTTGGTTTAAATTGGTTTTTTTTACTGCAAAAATTTAGTTAGAGGAATAAATGTTTAAGTTAGGATTGAGATATCTAGATTAGTTTGGTTGAGTTAGTTTTTGAGATATTTTAGTATTTGAACGTAAGTTTTACAGATATTTTAGGGATTGGAGAGTGATTTTCTCTTTCGGATATTGTAAGAGTTGTCTATATATTAGACTTCTCACAAAATAAAAAGAAACCCTCCTTCTGATAAAAATTTTACGTTTCAAAAAATCTATACTCTTTTTCATCTCTTTCCCAACAAATCTAAGAATACAACCTTAGTTTTCTTGCTAAATTAATAAGTATTAACTCCACCAAAGATAACACTTCAAATTAAATTCTTTTTAAGGCTACGGTTTTGAAAAAACAATTGATCAATACCGAACCATTTTGTTATATAAAGAGCAAAAAATTTTCAATTACCACTAATACCCTTACATAAATTTTTACCACATCTACTATGATGTTCTTCTTTCATGAATCAGGTAAAAGCCAATTCCTATTCCAAATAAAAAAAAAACTTGCCTAACTTCTCTAAATCAAAGGAGAAAAAAAAAATTGTGTAACTCTTTTTTTTCCTTCTCCAAATTACAAAAAAAATTTGTGTAACTTTTTTCCCTTCTCATTTCCTGTTATATTGAATTAAAAATTCTAGCACCGAATAAACGAAACTATTAAAACATGATATTTGAGAATTTTCATGGAGAACAAAATTAAAGAAAATCATCAATATAAAATATATAATTGGGTTCCAAGCAAATAGTGACAAGTGATATTCTATGTTGATGATTTTTTTTCTCCACGAAAATTTTCAAATATCATGTTTCAACACTTGATGGAGGAAGTTTGATTCAAGATCTCAGGAAACGAGAAATAAAAAAAAAGGCTGCACAAGTTTTTCTATAAAAAAAAAATTGGAGAAGCAACAAAAAAAAGAAGAAAAAAAATTGAATAGGAGATATATCCATAAAAGAAAGAAGAAAATAAAGGAAATTAATTATAGTAGATGTTTTAAAATTTTATATAATAATATTATCGGTAATTTAAAAGATTTTGCTCTTTATATAACAAAATAGTGCCTTTTGAAAAACAACAAAACTCATCATCTTAGATTTTAAAACCACAAACCGAAACATTAGCTTAATGTTTTTAATAGGCTTTCAAGAGTCAATGAACTTAACCATTTAAAGCAACTAATCTTTTGAAATAAATAAAGTAAAAACGCCAACACTTTCAAGGTACAAAATCCAAAAAGGAATTGATTTTGATTTTTAATTTCTTTGATTAATGTTTACCTCAGAGTTGGGTTTAGGTAAATTTGATTTGCAGTTTTGATTGGTGAAGTTTAAGTTGGCTTATTGGCGTGAGTTAGAGTTACTGAAAGAATCAAAATTGGAAGTTTAATTTGGTAATTAGACTTAGTTTAGTTCAATTTGGATTTGAAGCATGTGGATTAGAACAGTTTCTAAAGATAGAACAGAAGAATAGAGCGAGCTCCAATTCTCGGGAATCCGGCCTTTGTTTGGCTTTAGGTAAGACTGTCGTTGTTATTTTGGAAGAAAGATGAATTTTCATGGCTGTGGTAAAACTTTATTGTTCTTTTTTTTTCCCGGGAAAAAAAAAAACCCTCTTAAGGTTCTTTTTTTTTTCTTTTGTTTTTTTTTTTATTTTGTTTGGAGAAAGAAAACCCTCTTTAAGGTACTATAGTTTGGTCACTTTGGTAGTTGGTACTTGCACCTCCCCTCCTGAAGTCCCCCCTTTTTTGTTTTTTTTTGGCTCAAAATGGGACCGATACGTTAGCAAAATTTGCACCTCCCCTCCTTAAGTCCTTATTTTGTTGCACAATATTTTGATGAGTACTAAAACCAGAACATACTAGACGATCTTCCCCTTTCCCTTTCTGTGGCCCATTCCATTTTACACACAGAAGAAGAGGATGATCAATATTTACACTACTACTACTAGTGTCCAAAACTCTTCCAATAATCTGAATCCCACGGCCAGAATTTCGTCACCCAATCTTCCGCAATCCAACGTCCCTAGACCCTTCTAGACTTCCCACGAACTCGCTCAAGTTCAACCCTTTTGCCTATTTGTATCAACCATAAAACCCCTGTTTTTCTCTCCCTCTCAAGAATCAGTTTTCTGACGCAGTTTTCCAGCAGTGTAAAGATCAAAGACTAAAACTTTTTTTGAAATGGCGGCTTCTTCAACCCAGTTTCAGAACCCACTTTTGTATAACAAAACCCCTTTTATGGGCACAAGAGTTGGGTGCCCATTAGGCAGAGTTTCTTTCTGCACCTTCACAAACAAGAGTAGTGGAAAAAGGACCCCTTTTTACAGGCCTTTGAGGGTTGTAAATGAAAAGGTTGTTGGGATTGATTTGGGTACTACGAATTCTGCTGTGGCTGCCATGGAAGGAGGGAAGCCCACTATTGTTACTAACGCGGAAGGTCAAAGAACAACTCCTTCTGTGGTGGCTTATACCAAGAATGGGGATAGGTTAGTTGGGCAGATTGCCAAAAGGCAGGCTGTAGTTAATCCTGAAAATACGTTCTTTTCTGTGAAGAGGTTTGTGGGGAGGAAGATGACTGAGGTGGACGAGGAATCCAAGCAGGTTTCTTACAAAGTTGTGAGGGATGAGAATGGTAATGTGAAACTCGAGTGCCCTGCTATCGGGAAAAAGTTTGCCCCAGAAGAGATTTCTGCGCAGGTTAGTGCTATATTGATCGCAAATATTACCTTTCAGCTTTATTGTATCAGACTTTTTGGCATTATGCTTATTTCATGTTCTCCTTTGATTTTGTATTGGGATTTTCATCTTGATTGATCATGTTCTTTTGACACGTCTTTTAATTAGAAGGCCAAATTGGTTCTTATTGTACAAGCTTCTGTAGCTCTTTATGCATTCCTGGAAATTTTGTATGTGTTGCGTCAAAGAGGAGTCTTGGACCAAGTAGATATTGTCTGTTATGCTTCAACTCCAGCTGATCATTTTAAACTTTGTTTATAGAAATGGTAAGGCATTGACTGAGAAAAAAGATGCTTCATTTTCGGATTGGATTGATTAGGAGAGTTGAGTAACTGGGTGGAAAATGGTTGGGACTGTTGTCATGCTAGAGGAGAGGGAGATGAGGAGGAATGGAATTATTTGTAAATTTTATTCTTAACCGTGAGGATTTTCGGGACCTGATGTACGTTTTGTAGTGGATGTGTGCACTCTAATATGTGAAGGTCTGGACATGCATCCTTGCCATTTGGAGCATCCCAGTAATTTTATTTTTTATTTTTTCTGATTGGCCATGTTCCTTTAATAGTTGCATTCTTGAAATTTCAATGAATGTCTGACATAGGAATATTATGTTATTTTTCACTTTACAGGTTTTGAGAAAATTGGTTGATGATGCTTCTAAGTTCTTAAATGACAAAGTAACAAAGGCAGTGATCACAGTTCCAGCTTACTTCAATGACTCTCAGAGGACTGCAACGAAAGATGCTGGTCGTATTGCTGGTTTAGATGTTTTGAGGATCATCAATGAGCCTACTGCTGCTTCATTGGCTTATGGATTTGAGAGGAAGAACAATGAAACCATTTTGGTGTTTGATCTTGGAGGTGGAACATTTGATGTGTCAGGTACAGACTATGTGACACGATCTCTCTAGTCTTTGTATTGTTTTTATGGCTACTTCTACTTTCTCTATATCTGTTTGCATGTCGTGTAACTTCTTTATTATTTCTCTATGACTTTGGTAGTGTGTGGCTTGTGTGCATTCGTGTGTTCCTGTGAACTTGGCTATCCAACTTATTTCTATGTTTGGCATCTAAATGGCTCCTATAAAGTCAAAAGATGGTTTATCATCTTTACTCTTACTTCATTTGATCCAAGTTCAAATCAGAAAGATGAAGACTCATTGAGTCCCTTTTTTTAGTCATTATTAACAAATAAGCTGTTCTGTGTGACTTTTGTGGCAGAAAACTATTGGTGTTGCATTAATTAGACAAGCAATTGTTTAATACGGATGGATGTATGTGTGTGAGTGTATTATTCGGTTTTTGTTTTTTTTTTCCCCTTTTTCGGTTTAGGGTATTTCGTTGATTGAAAAGAGGATAGTAATGAATAATATTACAGTACAACGGCTTCTTAGGTGCGAGTTTTGACCCGTTGCTTAAAGCTGATGTAGAAGATTAAGAAAAAAAAAAGAAAAACCATTTCCTCTTGCACGGGTGGACAAACACTTCTTTGAGTGAAAACTAGAGTTGTGCATCTAAGGATTTAGACGGGTGCTAAGTCCTTGACCTTTCATATCCCTGTGATCTGTGAACATCTAACGTGTGGCATTAGGAAGAGGATGTCAAATTCTTACTGATTTCTCCCTTGATTGAATGGTGAAACAATTTTATTGCTTGATTTCATGAACTGTTTATTCTCATTTTTGTCTTGTTGTCTTCTTGTTGTGCATGTTAACTGCAGCTAGTTGAAGTTGTTGTATCTTTGATTCTGTCTACAGCCGATCAGTCAATTGTCGAATTTCCCAATTTATTGGGTTGTGAGTATATGGTTTCTGAAGATGTACTAACTGTTGGACAATTTTTCTTGACTTTAGTCCTTGAGGTCGGAGATGGAGTGTTTGAAGTTCTCTCCACATCAGGTGATACACATTTAGGTGGAGATGACTTTGACAAGGTATGAACTCTGCATGCAAGTTTTTCTTTCCTCCCCCCTTTCTTTTTGTTCTTTCTTTCATCTGAATATCTTTTACTTTTTGATTACTAACGAGGATGCAATTTCTGATTGTAACAGAGAATTGTTGATTGGCTTGCTGAGGACTTCAAGAGGAATGAAGGAATAGATCTTTTGAAAGATAAACAGGCTCTTCAACGTCTAACAGAGACTGCTGAGAAGGCAAAAATAGAACTCTCCTCATTGACTCAAACTAATATCAGGTATTGAGACTATGTCATGCATTTCTTGATTTGTGACCTTCATGGTACCTTTCCCCACTTTCACTAAAATGTGGTTTTCGCAGTCTTCCTTTCATCACTGCAACAGCAGATGGCCCAAAGCACATCGAAACAACACTTACAAGAGCCAAGTTTGAGGAACTGTGTTCAGATTTACTGGACAGGTATGCATCTAGTCAAGTTAATTATATTTTTGGTATGGGTTAACTTATGTCACGAGATCTGTTATAGGGTGCTTCTAGGTTTTCATTGTTAATTCCTTGTGCTGTGGATAAGTTTGGTTTAGTCCTAATTTCTTGCTTCTTCCTTCTCTAGGCTAAAGAAACCGGTTGAGAACTCCTTGAGGGATGCAAAGCTTTCCTTCAGCGATATTGATGAAGTTATTCTTGTTGGTGGATCAACAAGAATTCCTTCTGTCCAGGATCTTGTGAGAAAATTGACCGGCAAAGAGCCTAATGTGACGGTGAACCCTGATGAAGTTGTTGCTCTTGGGGCTGCTGTTCAGGTAGGTTGCCATCTTTAAATGCCTAGCCCCATATTCTTCTACCTGGAAGTTTGGTCTTTGTTGGTGGCGCAGTTTTTCTTCCTTTCTTCTTCTCCACCCCCCCTCATTTTGTTGAGTTCTCTTAAATTTTGGATTTTTTCCAGGCTGGTGTCTTGGCTGGTGATGTCAGTGATATTGTGCTACTGGATGTGACTCCGTTATCTCTTGGCCTTGAAACATTGGGTGGTGTGATGACGAAAATCATCCCCAGGAATACAACCTTGCCTACTTCCAAGTCAGAGGTCTTCTCCACTGCAGCTGATGGACAGACTAGTGTGGAAATAAATGTTCTTCAAGGTGAGCGAGAGTTTGTTAAGGACAATAAATCTCTGGGAAGCTTCCGATTAGATGGTATCCCTCCAGCCCCTCGTGGGGTTCCCCAAATTGAAGTGAAGTTTGATATTGATGCCAATGGTATTCTATCTGTCACTGCTGTTGACAAGGGAACTGGAAAGAAGCAAGATATTACGATCACTGGTGCCAGCACCTTACCAAAAGATGAGGTAATTTTTAGTGTCTTTTACATATTAACACTTCTATTTCAGATTCAGTCCCTATTTCCATTATAGGGTCCAGATATGATCGGTTATTTCAGTTCAACACCTAGCCATCTTCTTCTCAATACTATATATTGGAGAGCTTAAGAATTCTTTCGGCCTCTAGTGCAGTAACTAACTGGCTTTTCTTAATCTCTAATGGTGCAACTGATTTACTATAAACTGAGATCTGGAAATGAGGTTCACTATACGTTTAGGCTTTTCCTTGGATTGTTATTCTTGAAGACAACCTTGTTTGACATTCTTTTTTATAGTTTAACATTCTGTTGCCTTGAAATTGTTCAGGTGGATAAGATGGTTCAGGAGGCGGAGAAATTTGCTAAGGAGGACAAGGAGAGGAGAGATGCAATCGACACAAAGAACCAAGCAGAATCTGTAGTCTACCAAACGGAGAAGCAACTGAAGGAGTTGGGAGACAAGGTCCCAGCTGATGTAAAAGACAAAGTGGAAGCTAAATTGACGGAGCTCAAGGATGCAATTTCTGGTGGAGTGACCCAAACCATTAAGGACACCATGGCGGCACTTAACCAAGAAGTGATGCAACTCGGACAATCTCTATACAGCCAGCCAGGAGCTCCAGGAGCTGGACCTACCGCCGGCCCTGATGTAGGCGCAGCCGATTCTACACCTAAATCATCTGGTGGAGATGATGGCGACGTGATTGATGCAGACTTCAGCGAGAGCAAGTGAGGAAGTTTAGAACATGCTGATTGTTTGTGAACTAGTTATGAATTTTGGTTGACATGGTATATATATATATCTGTCATTGCTAAGTAGTATACTGGTTTTTGGTCGATGATGAATTCGAGTTGCTACCTTCGTAGCGGCTTGGATGTTGCATTGATTCATCAAGGTAGTAATAGTATGACAGTCTCTAAGAGAGGAAACTTCTTTTTGTATAGGTAGGGAATTTGGTTTGTAATTATCGAAGTTTACCTTTCTGCATCATATTCTGGTCATAAGTCCCTTCACATCCATTCTTGAATGTTATTACTATTGTGTTGTGCAGAATTACTTTGAGAATTCAAATCAATTCGACTTACTATTTGTTCTGACTTCAATCTGGAGAAGATATTGTAGACTGTTTGTTATTTAAATAAGATTTTTGTTCTTCAGACAATGGCTCTATTCACGCTAGGAAGAAGACTAACTTCATCTGACATTCTGCACTATGTTCGGGAAACGAAATATTAACTAGCTTATCTACAATGAACTTCTTTATAATTTTGTTCGAAAATTCCTTTAAGAAATTAAAATGGATTAATCATGAATGTAAAAATAAGAAATTTAACACTATGTCGACTTTGCATCGTGATGCTCCAATCTGAAAACCACCAGTTGAAGAGAAACAAAGTGAATAATGTGTCAATTTTGACAACGAGATGTATATGCCGACGAAATTGAAAATTGATGCTTTCATCGAAAACATTGTGCGAGCTGATTTTATTGTGGGAACATCTAAAAAAAAATTCAAATATTGATGAAATCCAAATTTGATGCTTTAATCTAATTCAAGGAAAAAAAAAAAAAAAGAAATTGAAGAGTGCATCGATTTAGGGGTCGAGATATATAAAAACTTAGTAAGATGATGAAATCGGAAGCCTCATATTTTAATTTTGAAAAATTGGAATAACTATTTAAATGGAAAATAAACTTGAATTACACGTCGACTTTTCGCCAAGATATATTAGCCGATGGATATGTCGACAAAATTGGAAGTTGGCGCTTTCATTTTGAAAGCGGGATACTGAATAACGACGTGAAACGGAAAAAGAATTAAAACAGTTCGTCCACTTTATCATCGAGATATTGATCATGACAAACATGTCCGCGATACAGAATATATTTCATTTTAATAGTATATTGATAATCAACTGTAAATTACAATATGTGTTCCTAGTACCACAACGTTTTTATTTGGTTAACATGGTAGATTGGATCGTGTTTTATATTTGCAAATTCAAAGATAGATATAAATTCACGGGTAATATTTAAATAAAGTAATTCTAACACGTCGATATTATTTACTTAGTAAAGGCAAAATGTCTCGCAGTTATTTACAACATCTCAATCCATAAATTTTTTGAAAAGAATTCTCACAAAAACATAGCGCATGAATATAATTTTTAAAATCCAATTCATTTACGGAAATTTAAAGAACTAAGATGTGACAGAAACAAAGAAAATATAAAATGTTGTACTTAGTATGTCCATTTTGTAAAGTATATAAGAAATTATTTAAGCCTTTTGTTGTCCTTCGCGATTGACAACAATAAGCATACCAAAGTCTTAATTCTATATTTTAACTACTAAACGATACATATCCAGACAGCATAATATAATCCCCTTCAAATCAACCCTGAAAATGGACAATGAAGAATATGCTCACCAAAAAAGAAGAAATTCCAACTATTTGACTTCAATATCAAGAATGGACATGGGTAAACTCTTGCCAGCATTCCTACATCAGACAGAAAGGATATAGTGAAATCGCAGTGGAAGCAACTTCTGCATTTAGCTAAGCATCTACAGTAAATACAATTACCACATCAATAGGTTCTATGTGCTTCACCCTAAGATCATTAAGAAAACATCCTATTTCAGCCATGAAAGAGAGAACTGAAACAAAATTGTTAGTTAATTCAATGATTTAGTCATAATTTACTTCTTCGGAAAGCTGCGAAAAACTAGGATCGTTTTTTTTAGTATGTGTTTTTATGTGTTTATTCTATCGGGTATTGAAAATGTAAAAAAAATATAATGTAATGAGACAGTTATTATTATATTATTCTGAAAAAATCAACGGATGAACCAAACAGAGCCTAAGAAATCTTCTTCTTTTTTCTAAACCAAAATTAAGCATTTAAAAACTAGAGTCTTGGGAGACTAAACTTGATAGCCAAACATGCTTATATCTGGGGACCAAAGATCACATCTGTTCGAACAACTCATAATCATAAACTTTATTCCTACCCTATTTATAAGAAACACTAATTAGTCTAAAAAGTACCATAACTTCAAGGTCCATATTGATTCCTCCATTAAGTTGAAAAATAATTTAAGTGGTATCATAAGTTGAAAAATTGTCTTTTTCACTTTTCCTTCCAACCATAGTTAAAAAACTAACAGTCAAAATTTCACCCATTGACTTGCCAAGAGACTAATTTTGGCTTTTCATCAAAATTTTCCATGTTGTAGAATTTACATTACTTTATTTCCATATTTCTTTTCTTTTAAAAATTACTTTTCATACTCGAACATAACAAATATACATTTTTTTCAGTATATGTAACTTCATTTTTGGAAAATTTCAAAACTAATTAGATCATAAAAACAGAAGGAAAATTTTATAATATAATATATATCTTACTATATTAGAAACAAAAACCATACTTAAGAGAAAGCACCATCATTTGTCATGTGACATTTTCACATCATATTTTTAAAATAAATTTTTATTACCACATCTCCTAAATTTAAAAGGCAAATGCTGTCTAAATTCACTTCCACCTCCTATTTTCGTCAAAACAAAAAAAAAAAAAATCACGGGTTCATAAAAAACCCAAATCCTCATCCACATCTCCACGACAATCGACTCCTTAATCAATCCCTTCTTCACAATTAAAAAAAAAAAACAAATTCCTCATCAATCATCAATTGAGAATATGTGGTGAAATATACTCCTTTCATATTAGCATGTTCAATCTTTTCATTAGTGATGATCAACTACATCTTAATCGGATAAAATTTCAATTTCAAAAAATATTCTCTTTACCTCTCTATATAAATATAAAGGAAAAAAAATTGTCATTGATCTTGCTTCGGCCGTTGTGGTGGTGCCATTACAAGTATTAAAATTTAAATGATTTTATTTCCACAGATCATTGGTTTGGCTTTAATTATTTTTTGTTTTTCCCGTTCAAGAATAGTGTGATTACTATTATTTTTTTGCGTCCATCCGTTATAGCTACCGTAGCCGTTGTCAGGTAGTATGATATGATTTCTTATTTGGTTAGTTAACCTAGAATTTTTGTATGATTTTAGTTATGTTTGGATTGAATTGATTGATTGGATTTTTGTTACAAAGTGTAGTTTTTTAAACTTGTTTTTTATGTTTCACTCAATTAGAGTGGTTTTTTTTTTTATTATGGAGTCTCGGGTTTTTTTTCGTATATGGCCAATTATGAAGTGTGTTTTTTCTTTGTTTAATTGCTTTTGATTTTATTTTATACTCCCAGTTGACCAATTATTATTATTATTATTATTATTTTATTTGCAAATGAAGCACGTTTCTTTTTTTGTGTTCGGGGTTTCAAGAATATACTTTTTTAGATTTAGTTTTTCGACTTTTTTTAGTTCCTCATCATATAAATAGTTCAGGTCGCTTCTTTTAACTAATTTATGGGGAATCCTTTTATGAATTTGAGGTGGAGAGGGGAGGAATGATGTTTCTACATTTATTTGTGTTTTTATACATCATTTTTACCTACAGAAAAAAAATAAAAATTCTCAAATTTTAATGGGCTATCTTTTACTTTTTTTTTTTAATTGCCATGGTGAGGTGAGTTCTTTTTTGCTATATCTTGAAACCTATGCAAATTTACATTATTTTCATTCTCATATTTGTGATCAACGAGTTTCAACAATTAACCAGTTTCAAAATCATATTTTTGATATTTTACTACCTATAAACTTTTGGAAGAAATAGTTTCAACAATTAAGCGTATACCCTTTAAAGGAAGCTAACTATAAAGCTATTATAAATCTCCAAAAATTAGTATTGATTAGGCACAACCAATGGAGAACATCAATAAATTATCTTACTAATATTTAAACTTATTAGGATGCTTTTATATTTTGTCTACTATTTACTTCAAGACATATATTTGATCAAGTTTATTTATTTATATTTAAGAAGTAACACTTATAAAATATTTCTAAAATCTTCAAACATTTCTAAAACGTACCGGGCCAAATATAATTTATTTTTTTGCCAAATACAAACATCACACTTATAAAATATTTCTAAAATTCTTCAAATATTTCTAAAATATATCGGGCCAAATACAAAATATTTTTTTTCCAGATACAAATATTTCTAAGATCTATAGATATATTGGGCCACGGTCGCGCATTGCGCGACCAGATATCACTAGTGTATATATATATATATATATATATATATTAAAAAGTCTTTTTACAAACTCCAGAAACTCTTTTTTTTTTCTCTCTCTCTCTTATGGTTTCATTGTTTACAAATACAAAAGATTCCAATTAACTTTTCACTTTTCAAATCACTATTTATACTACACATAAAAAAAATTTATATTTATATTCTGAAAAAAAAACTCTTCTTTTGCATTCCACCATCTTCCTGCAAAATCATCATCGTTCTATTACCACCAGTGCAAATCACACCACCACCAACTCTATCAAAATCCAAAAAACCATAACCAATACCATCACCGCCGAAGGGTAGGTGAGCTCCCAATACTTACAATTGATGATGTCCAGTATTTAACCTCCGTTAGCATGTCCAAATCTTTTAATATTTAGAAACAAATTTAATTCATTAAAGCATCAATTCATGAATAAGTGCTCTTTTAGAAAATTTTCTGTTCGCAGTTGGTGTGACTATCTAAACGCAGAACCTCCCCCAGACCAAAACATAAGACTCATCTGGTGCTACTTTTATTTTTATGTCTTGTTGGGGGGGCGAAAAAAACACAATCCATACATTGCTATTTATAGGAAATTTTTGTGAAAAATGCGAAAATTAAATACTATAGATGAACATGGTTTTTATATATTTTTTCAATTTGCAAAGCTTCCCATTGTTGATGTCATTTCATGATTTAAACTTTTTCATCAATTCATTTCACCACAAAACGTTTATTGTTTCGTGTAATTTGGCAGCGGATGATTTAAATAATCCAGTTACTACATGATGGAACACACAGGAAAAAAAAAAATAAAATTGTTGCATATTTGCAGGTGTCCACCGTTGGCAACAGTGACTAATCCCCTCGCTGAATTTTAGGTATTTCAATGGGTGGGACAGTTGGCTAAAGTATTTAAGGCTGTTCCATGGTTCGAACCCTCGACTTATGATTTAAGGATGGAAGAGTCCCTTTCACTTCACCACAACTACTTTTGTTGAGAGAAAATGGAAATGAGACAATTGTCTGGTCCGTTCAAGTATTATGTCAACAATCTTCATTGCAAGAATACTGGCCCGCGAACCCCAGTATCTTGTGGACATTATAATATCATGTTTTTCCTTCTTATTTTTTTTTTTTTTGGCTTTTATTTTCTTTGGGAAGAAAATTGCAGTCCATTGTTCTTTTTTGGTTCATTTGCCACTCAATTGTCCAATTTTTTTGCCTTGGAAATGTAAATCAATGATTGGAAATTACATTGAATTCATTGAGCTGAACTGGGAATGCAAAAGTTCAGCAGCTCACAGGTTGCTCAGTAACACTACTAATCTAAAAGGGCCACTTGGAAATGGAAGAAGAAGGGCTGTTTTTTCTCTGCAACAGCAAAATGATGCTCAAGAGTTGGAAGTTGAAGAAGGAATCAGCAAGAAAGAAGGGATGATGGTGACATTTGCCATGCCAGAGCCAGAGGAGGTGATTTTGCATCTTTCACAAATGTTCATGGATGGAGACGGTTAAGACAACAAGCTTTTCATGAGCCTGTCACTTTGTTCAATGGCTTTTTGCCCCCAATTCATTGAGGTTTTTCTGAGTCCATTTTCACGTTCTGCCTTTGTTCACGTTTTGATCAAGGAGGACAAGAAGACAAGAATTTGAGCTGTTGCACGGATTTCTTGCCCGTTGCTAGAATCCAATACTAACAAAAGTCAAAAGAGCTGAATTCTACAAAAAAAACTAACAGACACAGCAGCCTGCCGGATACTACATGGTTACATGTGTACTATATTCAAAAGATCACGACCGTACATGAAACAACCAACAATTTCATGGGATGATTGCGCTCAATTTTAGAAACCTTGGGATATATTCACTCAATTTTAAAAGTTTGGGATGAATTGGCTAGCAGAGGGTAAATGTTGGAATGTATCCGCCAATATTCCCTTTAAAGTATCCATATGATAGCGTAATTCTTTGTCACGAGCAATGACAGACCACTCGCCTTCTTCTTCGTACTTGATTTTGAATTTCTCACCTTTTAATCCGAAGGATTCAACTAGTTCCCCACGCAATTCTTCAATCCTCAGTTGACTGCAGATTGGAAGCTTGACATTGTCCTCTTTGTGGGTTGCTTTGACAATCATGGTGTAATAGTCATCGGTATCATGATCCCTTAAAATACCTTTGCTCTTCGCATTGTGGGCAGAAGTTTCCGATTTGAGGCCTCTTTCTTTGTTGCATCACTATATGGACAGCTTCCAATCTCAAGTTCTTTAATGACTTCACTGCGTGAAGGCTCAACAGAAGTGCTTGGGAGTTTCGGATCAGATAGAATGTGATCGCCTTTGTGTTTCTTGAGCAAAGGCCACCAATGCACGCCGAGTTCCTGACATCTATGTTTCAGAGCTGGTGTAGTAACTGCAAAAAGTATGAAGCTCATTACATAATGACAATTGATATTCTTTGGAAAAAGTAAAGATGAACAGAAGAAGACATCTTCAAAATTTTAGGAGGGGATCACCTCCAATTGCTGCTGCCTCATCTTCAAACTTTCTACCAGATTGTTGTATCAAATTATCTAAAGCAATTGTAGTGTGTTCGCATTCACTTAAAGGTCCCCCGAATTCTCAGCTTTGTCCTGTGCATTGGGACATTTAGTTTGAGCAGAGTTGTTCTCTCTAGCAGTTGCATCATTAGTTTCATATTTACTAACACTAGCTCCCAAGGTTGATGATGGAGGATCTGATGATGGAAATTTCTCTACTTTCTCATGCCCTGAGGAATAGGTGTTGAAAGGTTTACCACTTCGATGTACATCAAAATAAACAAAGTTATTCCCATCCGAGTGAGATATGTTGACACTGAATTCCTCACTTTGTCTTAATCCAAAAGCAACATTACATATTGAAACTTCACGAGCCACCGTGGACAATAGTGACTTTAGTTGAGCCTCCAGATTTCAATCCCATTTTTTTTGGGATGGAAGAAAGACTTCCAATACCAGAGGAGGAAGTTCAGGACTAAATATCTGCAAGGGAATTGCAAAACAAGCAGCAAGACCGGATGATCGAGCCAGATGAACCAGAGGGTGATCAGAGATGCTGAGTTTACCTATCTTTTTCAAAAAGCATGGCTTCTTTAGTTGGTATGCTTTTCCAACCAAACCTTTCCCATTTTTAACAGATTAAGTTGGGCAGGAAGTTATATGATTAAGCCCTTCAAAGTATTCAGTAGGGTACATATCCCAGTCCAAAAATGTCAAATGAAATGAGGAAACAGTTCAGTAAAGCTTTCTGCATTTGAGAAACTGTCTGCATTCTCATCGCCTTCGACCAAAGCACCCCTATCATTGCACAGGCAAGGTGCCCAAACCTGAATAAGAGGTAATCTGTGTATTCTCCCACAAATTTCAGACCACAACCCATGCGCATCTGTGAAACGAATTGGCTTACCTGACTCTAGATTGTGATCAACAGCAAAGTTTAATCAAAACAAGAAGTAATGCCAAAATTAAAAGAACACAAGAAAAGCATAAGAAAGCTATCTGCTCTATACAGAGTTGAAACATTCACTTACATGGCAGTTGTTGCCTGGGTCGGAATGTGAACCTAGACATGTAAGACCTACCCACTATAGAAAGAAAACAACCAAATTAACACTTAAGTAACAAACCAACACATGGAAACTTGCCTCAAAACATTATCAATCGACGTGATTGAGTTCCAGCTAATCAAAAGCGGAAAATGCAATACCTTAAGTCCTCTAAGGATGATGTCAAAAGAGGTTGAATCTGGATCAGCACCACATGAAAAAGAATTTGAAATACACTCAAGTACTCCCACACATGAGTGATGCCTATCAAGTTGGCAAAAGTGGTAAAGCCCTATACTGAGTGATGAGGCACTTTTTAGCAAAACCCTTCAAGGGAAACTCATCCTTGGAGTAACGGGAGATGTTTGGGCAATACTCAGAGGATTGCTGTTTGAATGCCCTCTCAATAGGGCCAAGCTGACCCTCGTCATCTCCCACCCAATATTCATGACGAACCATATGGTTCCTATATCTGGAGAGAGATTCATTGTTGTGAGAAAAAGCAAAAGGAACATGAAAAGGCCCTGAAGCTCCAGTAAGGAGTGTGCGGCCGTTGATGGTTTTTAAAGGTTTCCAAAACTGCATCTGGGTTCCTTGCATGGCTTTGACACACCAAATTTCCTTGTCCTTGAGAAAAGTATTGATTTTGTCATGAACTGACAAAGGACAACAATTCTTACAATTAATCTTGAAGATCATCAAAGAAGAAAAAAAAAATTGGGATAACATGATTACACATTGAATGGTAACTGATACTGTAAAATTCTATGAAGAGAACAAAACCCACAATTTAATTTTGGAGATCGAACTAAAGGAATCGAAAGTGATGAAAATACTAAACTCACTCACATAGTGATGGTGGATGTTGCCCTGATGATTTAGGGTCTCGCTTGATGGTTTTGGGCGGTTCATTGCATTCAGTTTTTCTTCTTCCGGTAGGCTTCATAGCTCCGGCAGGCCGGCGGCACCGACTTGAAGTTGGAGGCAACAGACGTTTGGAATGCAGAGCCCGAGTTCTTAACGAAGAACATTGTATTCCGGATACTCAACATCCGTTTTTCTACACTGCAGCTCAGTATGTTAATGCTATCCAGCTCAGGCATACACATTTGACCAAATGATTATTTATTTTGAGAGAAAATACGTTAACTTTATAAATGACGCTGGAATCAGCAAGCGATAATCAGTTCGGAGGTGATGAGCAAAAGTAATAGATTGTCCAATCTACTAATAATAAATACGTTAACTTTATAAATGACGCTGGAATCAGCAAGCGATAATCAGTTCGGAGGTGATGAGCGAAAGTAATAGATTGTCCAATCTACTAATAATCCAACATAGATTACGATTTGGAAAATTTTCTAAAAAATGCTTGATTTCCTCTATGATCGATAGAGCTGGATGAGCCGTCCAAACCGCCCCTGGACACCAATATTGCAGTATGAGAATCTCCAAGTGGGTGGTGATCAAATGGTAATTACATGCTTAAACTGATTCTTAATCATTCTCAATATTCGGTTAAGTAAGAGTGAATGATCTTTGCTATCCCAATGGTATCATTTTTTGTTAGTACAATTTTCTGTAATGTCTCATGGTTGCATTATTATTTTTTTTTGAAATGGGTAATCTACAGTGGTTGATATTGACATTGTGAATTGAACTGAATTTTGAAATTTCAGCTAAATTCTATTAGCCCGAATTTAATACTAAATCATGTTCAGTTTATGTGAAAATCGCAGTAGTTTTGAATCATATTGATGATTGTTAGACCAATCGGTCCAATTTTTCATAAACTACTAAAAGAAAGAAATAATTTCGATTACAGAATATGAATTCGAATAAATTTACTTGAGTAACTCGAGAAATTTGAAATTTGACTTGATGAACACACTTTGGATTCATGCAACCACTTCTTCTTCTGTCTCACAAAAACAGTCCACGTTATAATTTGCATTTTGTATTTTTGTTAAAACGGAGGAGTATTTTGTTTGAAAAAAAAAAATGGAAATAAGACAGTTGTCTGGTTGAGGTTCAAGTGTATGCACACAATCTTTCATTGCTACGAATCTAAGCAAAAAATACTGGCCCCGCAAACCCCTGTAACTTGTGGACATTATTACATCATGTTTTTCCTTCTTTGGTTTTTGCTTTTAGTTTCTTTGGGAAGAAAATTGCAGTCCACTGTTCCTTTTCGTTAAAACATAAAGGGGGAAAAAAATGGTTCATTTGCCACTCAAATGTCCAAATTTTTTGCCATGGAAATGCAAATCAAACATTGTCAATTACATTGACTTCATTGAGCTGAACTGGATATGCAAAAGTTCAGCAGCTAACAGATTGTTCAGTAACACTACTAATCCTAAAGGGCCATTTGGAAATGGAAGAAAAAGGGCTGTTTTTCCTCTGCAACAACAATGCTGCTGCTCTACTTCAGCTACTTCATCAGCAGAGGAAGTTGGTCAGCTAAATGATGCTGAAGTGTTGGAAGCTGAAGAAGGAATCAGCAAGAAAGAAAGGCTTATGATGATGACATCGAACAGAGGAGATAAGTTTGGTTCTCTGACTAATGCTCATGGATGGCATGTAAGGAGGATGGTTGAGACAGATGAAGAGATGAGGGAAGTTGCCCGAGTTCAAGCCGAAGCTTTTCATGAGCCTGTGATTCTGTTCAATGACTTGTTCTTTCAATTCTTTCAGGTTTTTTTTTTTTTTTTTTCTGAGTCCATTTTTTCTGTTCTGTTTTTGTTCACATTTTCGTTTTGTGAGGAGAAGAAAATGATTCTTCCTCTGATTATCTGTATGACTGCTCTGATGACAGGCTGAAGTGCTTGCAGGGCTTCTTTACAGACTAAAGAACTCTCCATCAGACAGGTGAGAAGAGCATTTGTACATTATACTCCGCCGGCTCCTACTTATTAAGGGGTAAATTTGAACTAATTTTAGTTTCATTTGGTACCTTATATGTAGGACTAGAGGGGGTATTGATTAGTCTGTTGGAGATTTTATGCCACATTTGTTCGTTGCAATTATGTAACTAATCACTAGTCAATGAAATATTTGGGTCCATCTGTTTATAAACCAAATGATTTTTTGGTTAGAGGCTATGGTCTTCAAGTATGATCTTGATCATATTCATAGGAGTAAGTAGCTGCCTGATCAATTAGTAAATAATGCTCATTGAGAATGTCATTTGTACCAAAGGCAGAAATGTTGCCTAATCCAATCTCTTGCTTCGATCTGATGACCCGTAAAGGTATGCCTGTTTAGTCGCGGAACCTGTGAATGATGATGATGGCTCTGGCACTGAAGAAGAAAACCTCGTTGGCGTTGTTGATGTCACAGTTTTGAGGGATAACGATGTTCTTGGGCATCTCCCGGGAGCAGAGGAGTACCTTTACGTTTCAGGGATAGCTGTACTAAGCAAATTCAGGTTCCATCACAATCCTTGAGTAGTCTGAAAATGTTCCTTGTAAATCTCCCTGTATGAACTTGCTGCTCTGTGTTCATTTTAATCTAGGCGGCAAAAAGTGGGCACGGCATTGCTGAAAGCTTGTGACGCTCTTGCAGCAGTTTGGGGCTTTGATTATCTTGTGTTGCGAGCTTATGAAGATGATTCTGGTGCCCGTAACTTGTACACAAGTGCAGGTTACAAAGTCGTTTCAGGAGATCCTGCTTGGACAATATGGATTGGTCGAAGAAGGCGTGTTTTAATGATAAAACGGTGTGACAGGAATAGTTGAACTACAAAGTAATCCAAATGTGTACACAGTATTGTTATAACATCACCAAATTAAACAAACAGATCCTGTTAATATATCATCAAAACTGGATCAACTGATCCCTTCTCGTCACTGATTGTTTTGTAACAACAATGATATCTCTAGGATCTACTACATGCTATTGGACAGGAAGTCATAGAAGGAGAGGGCGAAAAAGCTAGTATAATATCCCAAGCAAGAGTATACCAAAAGCTAGAAGAACCCTGTTTGTAGATCACTGTTCACAATTGCATTACCTCCAACATAAAACACAGAAAGATTTCTTCCTCTGCTAATGAAATCAGCAAACTGAAGTTCTAATTTTTCTTTCTCTTTTTAGATTTTCCTTCCTGAGATTGCTCTAATGACCCTGTGGAGGTAACAGCACTATGTTCTTTTCCAGAATCTTGAGTAGAAAGGTCAATGGACCTTACTGGTTCATGCCTTCTCGATGCTTCGGCTCTATCTCTACTACTCCGCATTGAGGAGGTACTAGGCCTTGAACTTCTGGACCTAGTACCCTGTGTGGGGGTTGAGTAACGATTCGCTGAATTCGTCAACGTAGAAGCAGCCGACCTTTCTGCCATTCTTTTAATAACCGTGCGCTCTGAAATTTCATTTGGGTCCGGATAATGCACAACAGAAACCTCCCGTGAGATCTTCCCAACTGTAACGATTAATATGTTACAAAAGTAGACATCATTAATCTCTAGCACTTGAAGAAAATGGCATTATGTTCGTTTCAACAAGCACAATTTGTTAAAAGGTTTGTATTAAAGGTACCATCATTTTGCTTATTTGCATTATAGAGTTCGTGAAAAAAATACTACAAACATAGAATCATCTTGAATCACCCAATGAAAATTTCCTGTACGGAGCTCTACTTAGTGGGAAATTATGCACATACAATATTTTCAGTCAAATATTCAGAATGTTTCAGATAGCACTTGACCAATTAAAGAAAACAATAATTCCATTAGGTTTTCAACGAAAATGATTAAAGCATGAATCATTACCAATTTTGCTGCCTGATGAGGAAGGCAAAAATACTGTTGCTTCGGGTGTCTGGGATTTGTAACTAACCAATTCATATCGTTTTCCTGTCACAAAATCAACAGAGATACAAAAAAATCATAAACAGAAGATTGGGAAAAGCAAAATGTATGAGGAACTTTAAGCATCACTTTTACAGAACAAATAATTCGCCATTACCAGTTGAATTCTCAACAGTACCCAATAGACCATCGTTGTTAACCTTCAATGAGATTGCTTGTCCATCAATTTCGGGAGTCTGAAACAACCAAGAGAATGTTCAACTTAACAGTTCAGCCTAGCCACTCGTCAGTCATGGATGAGTTTCAGTAGGAAGTAAATACACAGATTTAACTTGAGCTGTCAGTTGCGGCTGACATACTTGGCTGCAGGACTGGATCATTTTTAGTTTAGCTTTAGAATAAGTTGGGCAGACATGGTGTTCCACTTGGTTCATCTTGGTTAATAACAACAAGCCTGATCTCTCTATGACATTTCAATTTAAAACACTTCATGTCATTTTTAACAATTTCTTTCCTAGTCTTTTAAGGTCTTCCCCTTCCCCTTTTAATTTGAGTTATTGATTTATGGTTTCTACTTGTCTAACTGAAACATCGACTAGTCACCTAGGCACATGCCAAAACCATTTTAAACTGTGAACTCCCATTTTCTCATCCCATCTATTGGTGTTAACCAATCATGTTTTGTAAAGCATTCATTTATAGTCCAATCCAATCTAATCTAGTGTGTCCATACATCCATTTCGAAATTCTCATCTCTGCTAGACTCATTTCTTATTCTTTTCATTTTCGTTAACACTCTGGAAGCAAAATATTTTCTTGGTTCAACTCCAAGAAGCCAAATAAACCATCACTAAATTGACCCTATTTCACCCTCATATATAGTTTCTCATCATACCCAGAATCCCAGATCACAAATTACTCTTAACACTGAAAAAGAAAAGCAAGCATAAGTTTCATATACCACGATAGAACCACTCCATTGGCAGAATTTTTAAGCATCATAAACACATAACTCATTACAGAAAAGGAAAACACATTGATTACTGGAGCATAGAAGGGTAAAAGTAGCACAAAAAAGAGTACAAAAAAATCAAAACAAAGAATGGCAAATAAAACATCAAAGCCTTAAAAAAGAGAATTTGAGCAGGGAATATGTCATACCGAATGAAGGGGCCAATGAATAAGCCATAGCTCCTTGTCACCTGTTATATCGACATCAAAATCCCTATTAAACTCTAGAAATTCTTCCTTCGGTTTGGTATCTCCAGCTTCAGTCATTGCTTTTCCCCACAGAAAGGGTTAATACCAAACGATTCAATGTCTCCAAATATGCAAAATTCCTCAATCTTATAATTTTTTCTTAAAACCCAACCAAATACGTGGTTTCAGTTGTTCGTTAATGATTATTTGCTTCAAGAGATGAACAGAGATGGAGGATGGTCGAGAATTGGGGCTTTGAGCTGGAAGAAGGGTTTCGGAGGGTTTAAACGGGGTAGGAAAAACATAATTGCTGTTTAAGTCCTCCAAGTAACTTCTCTTTGGTTCTTCGTGCATCTAAAGTTCAATTAATCAACTTCAGGTTTTTCGTTCTTTGAAATTCTTTTTCGTATAAGAAAATTATTTAACATATACATGAATTACACACATTAATTCACTCCATTTTTTGTAGCCTCATAGCTAAACTACTTCCTCACTGAAAAAAAAAATATTAGACAAAATAGGTTAATGGAGAGGTCCCAAACACTAACATTTTGAACCATTCATAGCATTTGATCTTATATCAAACATAAATTCTGTATTTACTAAGAGCAACCGCAACGGTAAGCAACTGGCCAATGAGTGTTGTGCCAATTACTTTCAAAATACACGAATGTCATTGCACTACGTATATATTTATCAACTCGTGAGTTTATAAAGTACTTCTCTCTGTTCTGAGTTTTTCAGAAAGAGTGGGCATCCCTACACTATTTTTGACTACTTTATTATTTTTTATTTTCTTTTAAAAAACAAAAAATAAAAAGAAAGGAAACCTTCGAGCCATGGTGGGTAACTGTTGTTCCATGTATTACCACGTTTTGCTGTAAATGCCATTGTAGGAGACATTTCTTTTATTTTACATCTGATATAAATGCTGAAGTGGAACAATTGGACCACTTTTCAAAAATAAGCCTTGCGGTTGCTCTAACCATCGTTCAAAAATGCAAAATTTATTATTTGCTAGCTTTCGAATATTTTGACAAAATAATAATAATTAACAAAATGCTAATATGACTATTTATTATATCTAACAAAAATATTTTGAAAAATACTTGAATAAAATGCGGGAAATATAGAATGAGGATGTGGAATTTTTTAGGACAACATTATTTTTCACGACGGATGAAATCAATTTAGTTTATTAAGGTTATATAAATAAATGAAATATTGAAATATGATCAGAAAGACAAAAAGACCATAGAATACATGTGCAAATCAATGAAAAACAAAAGTATATATAAAAAAACAATTATTCACTTTTAGCTTGAATTTTAAGTTTGGTTGAATATTAGACAATAACAATATACGAAAAAAGAATAAGAAACAGGAGAGGGAAAGACGAGGCATATTTGTATAAAGATAGATGGAAGTTCTGTTGGTATAATATACCTATAAATTAGTAGGTTATATAAGAAATTGATTCACGTCGTTGACCACTGTAAACTAAATTAGACCTATATATTCACGATATTACTGTAAATTGAATAAAAACTTTGTGGACAACATCTTAATTTCGTCGAATTTGGGGAGGAGAAACGAAATATGAAAAAAAGGCCAATACAAAGTCACGATATACCCTAAAAACCCAATATTTGGCGGTCTGCTTCTCCGCAGCCTTTACCCAGTTCTGTTTCTCCCGCCGACTCCTATTATCCGGCGATATTCCTCCTCCACGTCCGGCCGGTCAAAGGGGCTTCAAAATCCAGGTAACGCTTTCTCTTTTTACTGTTCTGTAATTGTTTTCCCTTCCAAAGGTACAGCCTTGCAGCATTTTTCACCACAGAGGCATAGCTCATGAATTTCATGTTTTGATCCAATTGGGTGTTCTTATATGTTGTACCTTGATAGGAAGATTGATTCTTGAACGGTCCTTACTTATATCAGTTCGACCTGTATTAGTTTGCATGTGTATTTTAGATTAGTTCGACAGAATATCTGAACCAACTTGAAAATCCTTGAAATTCAATCCCTAAAATGGCCTGTTAGCAAATTAGGAAACTTAGCTATGGGAATTTTGATATCTGAACTTCCAGTCTGTGTATGTTTTACCTGAGTCGTTTCGAATTGGAATATGAATATGGTGGATGTTATTATGTTATTGAGTTTCTGGTTGTCCTATGTGAGAATTGGTCTGCGGTTCAGATTGCTAAACAATGTATATCCACAACTATTTTAAGGGTAAATACTATATAGAAGGGTAAATACTATATAGATCAGATTATGGATGTTTGGTAAAGTTGTGGAACTCCAATTGATCGATTGATGTTAACTGTTTAACAAATTTTCTGGCTTTTATCCACCACCTACAAACAGTCCACTTTCCTATACCTCCCTTACATGGAATTCCTTTTCATGACCCACCAAATTTCAGATTGTTAATGTTTTAAGTGTGGCAACCTCACCATATGAAATGATCCTTCCAAGAAACTAGTATTGCTATGAGCATTTAGTCTTGAAACCTATATTTGCGAAGAAATTGTGTATGGAGTTTTCTTGAACTTTAGTTTTTTATATTTTGACGTATGACATCTTGCTCCTACTAAAGATGTGAAATTTTTATTGTTATGTGTAAAATGAATTCTGTAACTTAAATCTTGCTTACCTGCTCTGTATTTAAACTTGTTTCTCTATAGCGATGTCTCTACTATGTCTTTTACTTCCTTCGAATGTATTTCATTAACTTTAATTTGCCCTCTGTTCTAATTTACGGCTTGAATTTTGTTAGTTCCAGCGCGTGATATCAGTTGGAACTTTCTAAGCCATTTCATATTATGGCATGCCACGTAGACTTCAGATGCTTAGATGAAGGTTTTGGTGGTAAAACTTACAAACGTAAAAGGGCCCTCCAGCAGCAGGAAGCGGTAGAGGATGCCACTACTGCAGAAATGGACATGGATTTTGAAGAAAGTGGCAGTAATCCGAGTAAAAGGCAGGCAGTGTCCTCAGCAGAAGAGCCAAACAAACCAGTGATTGGTCGACCTACATATGATGGTGTAATAGCCGGGAGGGTATCAGGCCGGAACTGGAAGCAGGTCCGGACACACAGAGCATCAGCAATAAATGTTAGCAAGAAGAGAAGCACAGCTGAGGAGAGAGCCAGAGAAAAGGAGATAAAGAAGGCATACCAGGAGAGGAAGAAGGAGCTGACGGAGGCAATAAGGCAGAATAAGGTTGCAAAGAGGAAGCAGAGAGAGGAGAGGGAGAAGAAGAAGAAGGAGAATATACTGAAGAGTGGGACTAAGCTCCAGAAGATCACTAACCCTAAAACGCTTCAAAGGATTGCCAAGTCTAAACAAAGGAAGCTGCTCAAGGTCATTCCTGATAATATTAAATGATTTCGGTTATCTACAATGTATTCTGGTTTCGACTCTGTAATAGTGTCATTTCGTAATTACTATGCGTTTATTATGACGTGGGGATAGTTTAGCAGAACTTGGGGCTCTTCATCATGCGCTTTTCTGAGGGATGGTGACTTGATGTGTACTGCTTACTAGTTGGTAAGATTTTTTTTTAAAGCTAAGGTTCAGTTTTGTTTTCATTTTATGTTTGGACATCGCTTTTGAAGGTGTTTGTGTTTGAGTATATACCTTGGTTGCAGTCATATACCTGTGGCAAGTTATTTTGAGAAGTAATAAGTATATAGGACCGGAGGTCGGATGGGTATCATACCTGGAGGCGCTCCTGTTTTCTGTTATGGAAAAGGACCGGAAAATCTATAGGCAGTTATCTTGATTTTTCAGTTGACATTCTTTAGGGCAGAAAAGGGGGAAAGAAGTAATCCATTGGTGGGCTCCTCGGAGGAAACCTACTTGAACTGTATAACCTGTGGTTTGCAATTTGCCAGTTTCTTGTTATCTAATTAAAAGGGGCTCTTTTTCGGTTCTTCTGGTGTCCACGTTAGCTCGCATTTCTTGGAAAATCTCAACCAAATCCTTTTGCAATTTGAATGCTACCTTTTCTCCTGTTTTAATAATGCAAACTAGCCCAAATTTCAGCTAAACTTTATACCTTTCTAATTGCTCTTTCTCCAAATAGAAAAGTTCAGTTCCAAACATTACTAATCTTAGATGTTCATTTACTTCTTTATGTACTTCCACCGGCCAAATTTTACATACATCCTTGAAAAGTCCGAACATGCTCTATTTAAATAATTGGTACCACTATTTAGATTTTATTGGATGTCTGAAATTACATAAATTTTACTTAGGTTAAATCTTGAGATATCAATCATCCTTCTTTATGTATAAAAATACGCTAATGTAACTTCTATAAAATCTAAGGCCAAATTGTAATACGTGGTTTGATTATAAGACACTATGTACATTAAGCGCATTACAAAATTTCATTTTTATATTGGTAATTTCAAATTCGATCTTAAGACCAAATAAAACTCAAGTACTAAGGTCTCTTACGTTAGTGTCAGCAAATCTCCCGTAATCTCACTTTTACGAGCCAGAGACAGTTAAGTAGTTAACAGCCACCATTTGGCGCCATATTCTCAGGGAAATTCAGTTAAGAATTCTACTTTTAGATCCAAAACTCACAGGCACACACACTTCTCCCTCTGAATTAGGCTTGAGCTTTCTTGTCCTCATGACTTATAACTGAAAAAACATCAAACCAATAACTTTCTCTACTTTCTTTCCAATTTTGCTCCAAACCTTCACATGGAAGTTGTTGACCTTCATTCCTCCAACACCCATTTAAAGTAGCCAATAAAAGTTTCCCAGGTTTTTTGTGCAAAATTCCAATCTTTGATAAAAACAAAACCCCTTTCCTCAGTACTATAAATAACCAGCAAATGTGTGACACGTTTTTATTCATCAAAACAAGCTCATTTATTCACGCTGAGAACTGAGTTTTCCAAGAAATAATGGCATTCTTCACAAGAAGAGATAATAGTTTCAGACTTATTATCACAATCTTCATTATCTGTCTTCATTGTGAAAATCATCTAGCTTCTTCAGCAGGTTCATCCACAGGATTTGTTCAAACCAGAGGAACCCGATTCATCTTAAACGGCTCTCCTTTCTTATTCAATGGATTCAACTCTTATTGGATGATGCGAGTTGCTACTCAGCCAAGCCAAAGGTACAAGGTTTCCAATGTATATCGAGAGGCCACGGCTGCAGGACTCACTGTTTGCCGGACGTGGGCATTCAGTGATGGTGGCGATCAGGCCCTTCAGATGTCTCCTGGAGTATACGATGAACGTGTCTTCCAGGTATAACTCATCATCTCCTTAGTCCACAATTAGCAAAGAAGATGTCCCTGAAAATACATGCACTAAAATGTGAGTTTTTTCATGATCTCAGGCACTTGATTTTGTGATATCCGAAGCAAGAAAGTATGGTGTGCGGTTAATCCTTAGTCTGAGCAACAACTACAAAGATTATGGAGGAAGGCCTCAGTATGTGAAATGGGCAAGAGATGCCGGGGTGCATGTCAATAGTGATGATGATTTCTATACTAATAATGTGGTCAAGACATATTACAAGAATCATATCAAAGTAAATATATACTCATCTGTCCTACCAGTAACACTTTCTGTGAATCTGTAAAATGAAATAACTCCAGGAATAATATGGTGGCACAGTTAAAAAGACACAATCACTAATCATATGCCATGGGATAATGGGTGATTATACTTTTTAGCAGCAGAATATTATTCCCATGGGCCATTTCACCAGACAAATTACTGAGAGTTTTATTACTCTCATCTCTTCAAGCATGTTCTCTAAGCTTCAAGTACAGCTACTAGGCTATTACTACCTCAGTACAACATACTTGTTAACGTTAATTTTCTACTCTTGGTGACAGAAAGTGTTAACGAGAATCAACACAATCACTCGCATTGCATACAAAGATGATCCTACTATCATGGCTTGGGAACTTATCAACGAACCTCGTTGCCAACAAGATTTGTCCGGAAAAACTTTAACGGTGAGTACCAGAAAGGTGTCATTTGCTGCCTACTATCCATATAAATTTAAAACTGCTTGCCATCATAAGAATTTGTTTTTCTTTTTATTGAATTTGATGAAGTATATACTTAAAATGGCAGATTTGGGTTAAAGAAATGGCGAGCTATGTTAAGTCACTTGATAATAAGCACCTCGTGGAGATAGGGATGGAAGGTTTTTATGGAGACTCAATGCCAAACAAGAAGCAATACAACCCAGGATACCAAGTGGGCACAGATTTTATTAGCAACAACCAGATTAAAGAGGTTGATTTTACAACCATTCATGCATATCCTGATATTTGGTAAGTTAACCAAAAAAAAAAAAAGAAAAAAGAAAAAAAGAACTCTTGTATTACCAGTATGTTCTTGATGAAAGATTTGAAATCTGCATATCTCATTTTCAACTTTAAAACAGGCTATCCAAGAAGAATGATAATGAACAGATGATATTCATGAGAAGGTGGATAACGAGTCATGGTACAGACTCAAGTACAATACTGAAAAAACCTTTGATTTTAACTGAATTTGGCAAATCAAGTAAAGATCCAGGATACCAACTCAGTGCAAGGGACACATATATGAATGCAGTTTACCATAACATCTATACCTCGGCAAGAAGTGGAGGACTTGCTGGTGGTTTGGTTTGGCAGATCCTGGCTGAGAGAATGGAACCATTCGATGATGGCTATGAGATTGTCTTGTCTCAAGATCCATCCACTACCCGTATCATAGCACAACAGTCACGCCAAATGGCTTCACTTGAACATACAATGAGCAAATAACGACCAGCAGCACCTCTGGAAGACACAAGCAACAAATTGCAAAAGAGCTGGAACTGGTCTTCCTTCTTCTTCATCTTGAGGAAGAAAAAAAACATTGGAAGCATGCAACTCTTCTTAGCAGTACAGTCGATACTTGTAGCATTGTGATTTGAGCCTCATTATGATTCATAATGAGAGCGAAAGTAGATCCAACATTTTCTAATGATATTGAGTATTCCTACCTTCAGTACTTCTAATGATATTGAATATTCCTACCTTCAGTTTCCCAAAGACAGAACATGCCCATCTCAATTCTTGAGTGAGTGAAGAGACAAATAACTTGCAGAAAAGCCATCACATCCGGTTTAGAAACAAATATCAAGAGGGTGCAAGGAGAAATTGCTTGTACTCTTGCTCACTGACTGCTGATAGTTTAAAACTCATTAAAACTCCTTACATGCACAAATTTTCCCCAAAAAATAAGTCATTGATTTGCTCATCTGAACTCTTCCAGCAACCTCCTACCAATCATTTATAATGAATGTAGGCAAGGCAAAGTGTGAAACATGTAGATGCCTGTTCACTAATTCAAGGGTTAATGTTTAACACCTCAATTCACATTGCTGACCAGGATGCTTTACTTTTTAACTTATTCTCCAGAGACCTATTGGGTGCACATCTTCAAGGCTTCTTTCGGAATTATAAGAATCAAAGAGCTACAAGAGTTCAGGAACACCCAGCCAGGCAGGTACAAAGGACACTTGAAAATTACATTCTTTACAGCAAACCACGATTATCTACACTACAACTTATTCGCCACCAATTTTGCATTTTCAACCAGGCAAAGGCAAAAGGGTAGAGCCTTTTGCCCTTAACTTCCTTTCCAAACCAAAAAACTTCAAGCCACACAAAACTAAGTCGGCTGTTTTCTTTTTCATATGTTCAATAAGTAACTCATCATAAACAATCACTTCAGCTTCAGAGAGAAGTTTGACTCCTCTTAAACTTGCAAAAACTTTCCTTGCTTCTTCAATAGTTCCGTGCTGGCACATTCCAAATATTATGGCTGAATATATAACATTATCAGGAGAGCAGCCATGTTCTATCATTTCATCAATAACTTCAATTACTTTCTGGGCATCATTTACCTTACAAACATGGATTATAGTTAGGGTATACTTAAACTTCAAAGGTCCATTTACAACATTAGCTAAGCAGTCGCGAATCAGCATCATGGCAGCATCGATCTCCCCAGCTTTGCAAAGGCCATCTACAAGAGAAGAGTAAGCGGCAACTGAAGGACATGAGGACATCTCAATGAGAGTGTTATAGCATATGCATGCATCATTTACACTGCCACTCTCAACGTAACTTTGTATGGCATTACTATAAGTTACTGTATCAGGTTCAAGATTTGAACTCTTAAGTTCATGAAAGAGTGACAATGCCTTTCTCACCTCCCCAGTTTTGTTCAAAGCCTCTATAAGGATATTGTAAACTGAAACAAAGAGATAATTTTTTAACTTCAAGTGTTCAAACAAATCTAAAGCCACCATTAGCGAAGACTTCTCTACCATAGAAGAGAAAAGTTCAGTTAAAAGATCCAGAATAGAAAAATTCAAACTTTTCATTTGCTCAAGCAATCTGCAGAAGTCATCCATTCTATTTGACTCGGCAAAAGAGACCATTATAGGCTTGACAGTGCTAAAGTTAGGCTGCAGATCCTCTTGAATGGTAACTTGGAAAAGCTTGTAAGCTCTATCTACCAGTTGTGCACCACATAAACCCTCAATGAGAGAGTTATATATTGTCACGTCTGCCCTATATCCAGATTCCATTAAATCTTTCAACATATCACAAGCTGAACCAACCTTCCCATTTGCCACAAATGCCGCAATCAATGATCCGTAGATAGCCCTATCTATCAAGTAGTTACTATGCTTCATTTCCTCAAATAACTGAAAAGCCTTTTCAACTTGATTCCCTTTGCACAACCCTATCACTAGAGTTTTATAAGCCATAACATCTGGCTCCACTCCATCCTTTTGCATTTCATCCCAAATCTTTAAACACCCTTCTAAGTTTCCATCAGTAGCCAGTATTTTAACCATTGCTGTATAAGCAAATACATCTGGTTTGCATACGTTCTTTCTCATGCAGCTCAGAAGCTCAAGTACTTCATCCATCCGTCCAGACTTGCACAAACCCTTGATCAATATCATAAAGGTAACACTATCCTCTCTTAAACCATCCTCCTTGAAATCATTATAGACACACAAGGCCAAATCAAGGTGATCAGTTTTGACAAGGGCATCCATTATTCTGTTGTACAGAAACACCCTTGGTTTAATGTCAAATTTCTTCATTTTCTCATACACATAGTACACCCTAAGTCCCCTATTTGCATCAGCATGCATTCTTATTAAGATTTCAAACTGTTGCTCGCTAGGAGCCTTCCCTTGCATATGCATCAATTCGGGTACCTGGTCAGCCATCCGAAATTGGTTCTTCCGGTTCAAGCAATAGGCAAGGGCATTGTAGGAAGCGAAATCATGCCTATAACCCTTTTGCTTACCTATTCATGTTGACATAAACGGCAAAAAAATCTTTAATAGGAAGACCCAAAAAGGAGAAAACAGAAACCAGTCATTAATAACAAAACTCAGTATACCTAAAAGAGTTTAGTACTCTTAATGTCCTAAACGGCGTAGGTAGTACAGGCACAGGACTCTGTGGCATATGCAAAATAGATGGACATGGTTATGTACACACAGAATAGCAGCTTGAGGCACAAAAAAAAAAAATAAAAAATGAAGGACCACAATTCATGCATCTTCTCTCAACAGAATAGAGTATGAGACCTAAATAATGAGCCCGTATGTGATAATCAACACGAAAATGTCATAGGCCTCCATAACATTTGTCACATAAACAATTACATTTCCAATTCAACTAAACAAGTCTGACAATCATTTGAATGGTTACAATTTCCAACAGCAAACAAAACAAGACCCAAATCCAAAATGCAATTGATACATACATGCACATAGCAAATTCTTTGATCAAGAATAAAAAGCAAATCAGAATTTCGTACCAGCCCAGTGGAAGAGCTTAGTGGACAGTCTAGAATCAATATCAGGGACTTTAAGGACCTCCGCCACAAGCTTCGGAGTCACGCGGCGGAGCTTATTCAAGTCAGCCACTATAGAGGGGCCCCACTGGCGGTGCTTCCGGAAAGAATCGACAATATATCTGGCAATCGGAGACAACGATTGAGCCACCGCGAAGAATTTCTCCGACGGGTCTCTTTTGATGCGCCTCGGCCGGGTTACTGACGAGTCCGGGTCCCATTTTGAAAAGTCGAATGGAGGTTGAGAAGAAGGGAGCCGGGTATCACGTTTCGGGTCGACGGTTTGTCGGTTGGAGAAAAGGCCACCGCGGACGGTTGGGCGGTTCTGGGTGGGTATCCGGTGACCGTAGAAGAAGTAGGGTTTATGGGGTTTAGTTAGGGCGGCGGGGGGCGGTGGTTTGGGTGGCATATTCACCTTTGGAAAAATGCCGGCAAACTATAGACTGAAAAAGGCATGAATTTGAATGTGATGTGATACAAATTGATCTCCCAGAAAATGAGAATAAAAATTGGGGCTTTTTAACTATTTGTGCCAACAGTTTGTTAACGGGAATGATATTATGTTGTGACACAATAATAAAATCACTACATATAGTTCTAATAATCTCTATATATGTGTGGGTTAGCATTTATATATTTGCTTCTCATTTGCAAAGAAATCTCACTAAAATTTTAATGGAAACAACACTTTTCTTAGCAATGATGTGGATGCTACTAGTTTAATGAAATCTTTTGCATCGGAAAGGAGAACCAAAAGCGAATATAAAAAAAAAAAGAAGAGAAATTATGAATGTATTATTGCCGAAGACAAGATTCTATTCATTGATGATCTTCTCGTCTCAAAATAGAAGTCAGAATGGAGTGAGCGTTGGCTCTATAAGACCTTATACTTCACAAGTATTGGCAACATGCTTCCTTCAAGAACTGAAAAGAATGATCTCATTGGATCCACAAGCGAGAAACTGACATACATTTAGTGTTTCGGGAAGGTCACTACAAGTTAGGCCAAAAAGGCAGCTTTGTCCAGATAAATGTAAACCTACAACTTATTTACATAAATAATAAACTGATAATCGGATGCACACACAAAAGAAAGAAAAAAAAGAAAAAAAAAAAGATGGGATTTTGGCAAATTGCTAACTGCAATCTTCTTTCCTACTTCCCTTTTAATACCAGAAACAAGTGGATTCACCTTGTACATCGAGGAATCTTATAACTCAAGTCAGCCGCCATCTGCCTTCTTGCATCGGCTTTTATTTCCTTACCATTTTATGCTCGCTCATTAAGAAGATTGTTTGTGTTCCACTATGATCGCCACTCCAAAAACCTCGACCGTGTGACCTGAATTTGTGACTTTTAACTAAAAGCAGGAGAGGCTCCTTGTTATTATACTGTTATAGTGAGGGAGATTACACATATGGAGGCCATATAGGACTGCAAAAGGATTAATAGTAACAGGCAGTAACTCAGTAAGTCCTGCAACATACCTGCTACACATTCCAAGACTACACATGCTTGTGATTTATGGTTGTCGTTCCACAAATTAGTAATCCATCTTTATTCACTCTTGCTTTTTCCTCCTTTCTCGTCCCATTATATACAATCTCGTGCTATCCTAGTTAACACCGCCACCAAAAATTTGGCTTCAGATGGCTGGTGAGCCACCCATTGTGTTGGCAGACAATATGAGGTCTAGACATTGAATGGGCCAATCTGACACCATTCAAGTAATGCAGCATAATATCTCCATCTCCCATTATACCATTTGAGGTACGAGAAGCAAACCATCCTGCACATGTTGGATGAAAATAATTAGTCATGTGGGAAAGATCTTCTCAAAAGAAATCCTAATAATCTAAGCAGAGAACCTACGTCATTCACCACAAATGATTCTGATTGATTTGATGAAGGCAACAACCAGTTAGCCAAATAAATCCGCTGTTGACTGTGGCCCTTGTCATCTGAAAAGAAATTTTAGAGATTTAAAATGGAAAGCTGCAATATAGAAAGGTTTTTTTTTTTTTTTTTAAGGATCAATAGTGGTTCTCCACTTAGCCCCTAATAGAAAGTTATTAAATAGCTACTCTGCAATAAAAGGAAGCCAAAATCATAGACTTCATGAAGTGCATCCAACCTGATGTTACATGTATCCTGTGGGTGACGAATGTCTGCAGCAACGAGAAAAAAAGTTACGCAGATTGGTCTTTGTGAATAATTTACATAATATTGACTCACTATGATGTTCCCACTTCAACTTATAAAGGTTACCCAAGCATTATCAGGAGCACTATTGAATCCATGGAGGAACAGTAGGTCAACAGACCAAATATACAACTTATTTTATGCCCCTAACATCCACTAATGCCCCTTCTAGATACAACTTATTTCTATAAAAGTTAACTACATATGCATTTATTTTACAACTTAAATTTGATCAAAATTTTTATCTCAAAAAATATTGACAATGAATCTTATGGAAAGATCTCGTTAAGTAGATTAATTTGATATATAACATATTTTTTAATTATTCATGTATTAATAGATATAATCATTTGAAAAAAATGAGAGGAAACTAAAAAAAATGAAAATCAAAGGAAGTGAACCTTGTTTTCCTTCTCACTACTCTTTTGGATATTTAAGTCATTTCAGTTCAATTAATTTTGACTTTTGTGACACTGAACTATTTTTTTGGGACAAACTTTTTTATTAAACTTGGACTATTTTTGTGAGACCGAAGGAATAATATCAATTTCAAATAGACAAGGGGAGTGGACGGCCTTCCAGTTAGAATTGTCCAGATCATTTTCCAGAGTTCAATGACAATGCCCTGAGAAGCTTAATAAAGGTAACACAAATATTGTCACCTTTAAAGTAGCGAAAGTGAAAATTGTTTAATAAATAAGCTTAACCTTTCACAAAATTTCATAATTAATATTTCATGGTGGTCCCAAGGAATGATGGCCAACATATAAATGCTCTTATGTACTTATTGCACCAAATACGAAGGACAAGAATGACATGGTATTAATGAAGAGGTCTGACAGAAGACGCCCTGATTAATTAAGCTAAACAAGAAAAAAAAAATCAGCAATATAAACAAAGGTTTACCTGCCAGACTGAAGGCATGTATTCGCGATGTACTTGGGATCGAGAATTACTGTTCACGTACCTGCTGGACGAACAAAAACATTAACCAAGTCACAGAAACAAAAACCAGAAAACACTTCAGAAAAAGAAACAAGAAATTAAACTTATTCATAATGCTCACAGGACAGCATATACATTTCTTTTCCATAGTTTCAAGTCATGAAACATGTGTCCTCCAAAAACAACCCAGTGTTTTCATCTCATTACAATCAAGTTGTGAAACATGTGAACTTTGTTATGATTAAAGTTTCCAAGCTCTTCCTAAGAATGATATGTTGCAGCTTAAGATCTAAAGGATGGTACCTATTCAGGCTTATGTACAAAATTGGCTATTCACTGCTTCTCATACATTTTATATTTATCTTCTAATTAGCATCTGAAACTTGAAATAAAAAAAATATCCTCAATAATCTAATCCATCGGAAGTTATAAAATCAACTTTCTTGTTTCCACATGACCATTTACTCCCATCCTCCCTGCCACCTACATGTTGCAAGTTACTATCTCAATATTTGAGTTATGATAAAGAAAACAAAAGAGAGGCTGATAAGGACTCAACCTTTGTTTGACACAAAGTGATCTACATAACTGACAAAAAGCCTAAGTCCATCAAAGTTAATACTGAATGCATTCCCACATTTGATTGGTTACAAGCTATTGTGCATGTCTACATGCTAGCAGATATAGAAGCAGTGGTTCAAGTTGGCAGAAAAAAAATAGCTGAAAGGATCCCGAAAATCGACCTCGAACCTTCATTTGTTGTATTCCTGTCCCCAGAATTTGCTGTTTTCGAAGCTAAAACAAGTAATGGGTGCACCAATAAAAGCTTTTGAATGTCCTGAACCACATTCTCAGTTACAATTTGAAGAGTGAGGCTTTTCCTGCATTTGAAAGTAGTATAATGTACTCAACCACAAAAAACAATAAATATAAACAGAAAACGAAGGAGTAAGCAGTATCTGGTCCAAATACAAGAAGGGTTATTGACATTTTGCCCCCAAAGTTTGATCAGATGAATGACCTTGCTGTTTGGAAATATAACCAAAGATTACGCTATTCTAGTCTGCACATGTCTCAATGTCAATGATGTCTAAAGTTGAAATAATCTTCTAAAATGATAGTGATCCTATGCTTGAATTCTAAACCATATAGCTAAGATACATTCAACAATCCGGCAACAGACGAAATCCTAACATAACTGTTAGGAAGTACATTGGTTAGAAAAACTCATAATGTACACAGTAACATCAGCTCAATCCAATTTTACTTTTATATCTTCCTTCTCTATAAATTTCTAGCTTCTCTCAGAAGGTAAAGTGGGGCTAATTCTAAACGTTCACTTCATCTGATTGCAGAGCTTTTACCTTTTGTTGTTTCCTAAGCCCAACGAAGGTAGTGCACGGTCCATCCAGTAGAAAGCTCCAATACTGGGCACAAGCAATAGCAAAATTGAATATCAAAAAACAGAACAGAGATGAGTAAAACGAGATTTTGGGATTTCAAGTCTCAAAACTTTCCAAATTAGATTAAACCGTGTTGACAAAGCACAAGTACACTCAAAATTGTTGTAGGAATAGTCGCAGAACTAGCTCAAATTTCGGAAAGTAAGACGCAAAGTCCAGAGAATGAGTTCAAAGATTTTGTGGATCTTCATGCACAATAGAAGGATTCATTATCTCGACTCTACCATATGGGTTTAAGCAAGTACTGATTTTGAAACAATAAAGAATGTACCCAGTTTTCCACAAGAAAGGGAACAAATTTTAAGGAATTAAGGCAGGATGACCAAAAAGTCCTTTCGTGCTTGAGGCAGCAATTATGTTGAGTTTCTACATCAATTAGTTCCCCAACCAAATATATATTACATTTTCAAGTAATCAGTGCAATTTTCAACTGCCATGGAGTGAATTACTAAAATTTGATGTTATGTGGCAGTAAAGATCACTTGAAACAAGAAAATGTAAAACAGCTAAAAACAAGTTTGTAAATTAGGTCAGAGGTCTCCACAAAAGTGATTAACTTAGGAAATACCAGCGTAACTGATCAAATTAAAGTTAGACACAGTTCCAGTTTTAAAGATTGCCCATCAAATCATAATAAGTTAAAACAGTAGCGTTTGCAATTAGGAAACTAACAGTTTAAGACAACCTGTTTGTTAACCAACAATAAGAAATGAAAGATGAAAGCTCAAAAGGATGCTATAAGAGGGCTTCATTCTCGCACAAACCTGTCCAGTATAAGCAAATGGACACTAACACCATGCATTTCCTTTTGTTTCCGCAGTTGATAATTCATTGTCTGCCACAAAATGAGGAATCAAGTTGTTTTAATCTTACCCAATACAGATCCACATGCAGTAGAAAAGATTTACAGAAACATAAAAAGGAAATTAACTAACAAATTCTTTTCCATACAGCCGAATGTAATCTTTTTGAGAGATGATTCAATTCATCGAGTACAAGGAGGAGAAATAAAATTATTTCTAACACTGATAGAGTTTGTCCAGAACAGTGCAGAATGTTAAAGCTGTTTCTAGGATTAAATTCCAGAAAATGTAAATCCTAGAATCATATAACTGCAAGGCTATATATAAGTTAATTTTTGAAGGCCAGACACTTCAAATATATATATATTGGAAATGGACAACAATGTTTGGCTTCGGCTTTGGCAGCTCAAGAGAATCATCATGTCAGTGTAAATATTTGATAACATGTAGCATGCAGAAATCTAACTCAAAAAAAAAAAAAAAAACCGTAATCAAACAAAACCAGGAAAGAAGCATCAACATAGAAGGGCGATTTACTGCATGCCCCCTTCAGCTGAATAAAATCAATACCGACGATTTCCCAAGTATGAAAACTGAAAATTGGTACTCTTTAGTTTGAAGCTGCTAGCTTAAACATGTGAATTTTTTAGAAAAGGAAGACCAAGAGAATGCTAAAATATCAAACATTCAGTAGTGGTAAAGATATCAGAATCGTCTCAAGAAAACTCTTCACAATCAGTCAACATCTTGGAGAAAACCCAACTACAATTCTAAATAATGCAATATGTAGCTATAAACAGACAGCCATCAAACTTACTGTGAAAGCATAAAAAGTTTTACAAAATAATAGCATAAACTGGGTACAAACAAGTTCGGATCCCATTTCTTAACCCGTATTTGAAGCGGGGTGTTGGGTGCTCACCTTAAGAGTAGCAAGAAACTCACAACTATCATAACAGCGGAGGTACAAGAAGCGTCTCATGCTAGCTGCAAATAAATCTTCATCGCATCCTCTCTTTGAGTTCTTATCTGAGTTTTGAAGAAAAAAATAAAGGTAAACAACAACCAAAGTAGCAAAGTGGATGCTAAACGAGAGTGATGATAGATTTGTTGCTCTAACCATCTTTACACTTCGGTCTCCTTTCACTAATCAAAACATAACACAGTAACATTTTACAATGTAGCCACACTTCCAACTTGTACAGTAATTTGTTTAAGAGAAACACATTCCCCATTTGCTAATTTACAACCGCCAGAAATGAATAATAGATTCTCTCCTGTCTCCCCAAACTCCCTCCACATTCCCATGGAAAATATGAACAAGGAGTACACTGAGCATGTAAAAAAAAAAGCTATTTCAAACTTCTGGAAATGCAAGAATTTAAAGTTACAAAGAACCCTAACGTCTACTATTACATTACTAATAATTCACCAAAAGAAGAAAGAAATTCGGAAAGAAGTGACTAGAGTTACGCTAACCATTTGATAAATTTAGTTTGTGCCTCAACATCTGGGAAAAGCGTAGAGCATCGAATCGACAATCCAAGTCAATAAAAACAGCCAATCGCTCCATCCCTCCAAATTCCTTGGGCAAAATGCAACTAATCGCAGTCTACGAAAAAATTTCAAATCCCCAAATCAAATTAAGATAAAAACAACAATTATATCAGCAAATACGGAATCAAAGTGTATAGAAGTAAAAGAGAAACCCACCTGCATTAAGATGTGGGTTTTAGCAGAAGACGGCGGACCCATAATCTCAACCACATTTCCGGCGCGAAGCGGAATCTTGTGAAGCGGTGGCGGTAAAGGCAAGAACGGCCTCTCAGCGAAAACCCTAGCCAGCATGTCCGCCGCGCTTTCGTCGGTTTTTATCCATTCTCTTGCTTCCGGCATTGTTGGGTTTTCGGCGGGAGAAGATGATAAACGAAGTGACGGTTTAGCCGTTTTTGTTGAATAGTGGAAGTGAGAAAATATCGTAAACGTTAAAAAAAGGACTGTAAAATTTCTATTTACCGTTTACCACGAAGAAGTACAGTGTATAAATGAGCAAAATAACTTTACGGAATAACTTTTCGCAGTAAGAAACCATAGGGAAGAATTAGGACTCTGAAAGCCCTACAACCAAACCACCAGTTCGCCACCGTAACCGCCGCCGCCTGTCGCCGCCATGCCTACCGTGAGCGTCGGCAGAGACCGACTGTTTGAAGCCCTAGGTCGCACTTACAGTTAAGAAAGCTTACTGGTTCTTTCTAGTTATATGTTCTCGTCCAAGCTAGTTTTACTCTCAGTGTTTTTGTAATTGGTTACATTTCAATGGTGCAGCTCAGGAAGAGTTTGAAGAATTGTGTTTCAAGTTCGGCATCGAGCTTGATGACGTCGTAAGCACACATTCCTCTCTCCTCTTTAATGATTCTATCCTCTGTTTGTTTTCTGTTGTGGATTGGTTAATAAATTTCGAATTATATATACTAAAATGATATTGATTCTTAAAAAAATTGGATTGGGTGAAGTAATGAATTTGAATTAGGAAATGAGTTATGTCTCTTTGTTTTGTCGGAATGCAGACAACAGAGAAGGCAATCATAAGGAAAGAAAAGCATTTGGAAGAAGATGAAGTCTCTGGTGACGATGAAATTATTTACAAAATTGACGTGCCAGCAAATCGGTAATATGATAGACTGGACATTTTTATTTGTGTCTCTTTTGTGTTCATTCTCGCTGCCTACATCATTCTTTAATTCGCTGTAAAGTTGCAGTGGTTGAATTCTATCAAATCACAATGGTTCTGCTTGTTTACCCCACCTTTCAAGTTAATGTGGTTCTCGCCAATTTCTGGTTATGTAAACAACCGTGCATCTTGTATCTATTGAAAACAGTTATCAAAATGTAAAATGTGAGGCTATTAGATAAATTTAAAATCAGTAATTGTGTTTTCCTGTACGTAAATATCACCTTAACATTATAAACTTTGTTAAAATGCAGCTATGATTTGCTTTGTCTGGAAGGGCTATCACAGGCTCTTCGCGTATTTAATGGGCTTGAGCCAATTCCAGAATACAAAGTTGCTGGCATTGATGAGGCATCAATGCTCAAGATGCATGTAAAGCCAGAGGTATGCTTCACATGGATTAATTTTCACCTTCTCTTGTGATTGGAATCTCGGGTTTCCTATATTTACATTACCGATTTATCGTTTTTTAGCTCTTGGTAAATGTTAGAAACCTCAACTAAGCCTATTGTTGTGCAATTTGCTAATTTTGCTTGTGAAAATCTATCTCACACTTCAAATACTTGCTCTGATTAAACTCCTGCTGCAACTAATACACAATAGATCTGAAAATCATGCATGCATGTTATTTAATGTGTTTTGGCGTATGGCTGTTGATTGGTTTGGGTGTGAAAGACAGTAGTCCATGGCGGAGCCCCATGGGAATTACTTTTCTTGGCTACCAATGTTGGTTAATGAGGGACGCTGAAGGAGAGTGATGAAATAGGTGTTTAAAGAAAACGAGGGGAAAAAGAATGAAAAATGACAGAAAAAAGGAAACATTTAGGGACAGATTTACTGTTTTTGACAAAGTCCTCCATCTAACTGAATTAGAAAAAGTCCAATGTGTTGGATGAGCCAGCTTAACTGGTTATTCTCTGAAAATTTATGCTTGAGGGTTGTGGTTGGCTATTGTGCATACGTTAAGGGTTAAATTACATTTAACTTGAAACTGTTGTTCTTAGCTCCGAAAGTTTAGTTGTGATATTGTGCTCTCTCCCTGCAGACATCTCAGATACGACCGTATGTTGTCTGTGCTGTTTTACGAGGCATAACATTTGATGAAGTGAGATACAACAGTTTCATTGATCTTCAAGATCGGCTTCACCATAACATCTGCCGGTACTTTCTCTTTTATTGTGTGTTTAATCATGACTTGTTCAAACTATTTTGGATGTTTTCTGGCAGTGGATATTTATTAAGTAATCTAATGAATTTCTTTAGCATACGATACCTAAGCTGGGTGGACTGTCTGTGTAAATTTGACTACCAAATATGAAACTATTTTTGCAAATGTTGACTGGTTTGAGGCATGATGCTGTAGGATTATAACTGGTGTACTACTACATTTTCTGAACAAATACCAAAATCCCCCACACCCCCAACCGCCCCCAAAAGAATGTACAGTGAGTTTGATGGTTTTAGACACATTCATCAGAGTATAGAGTCAACTTGCTAGTCTTGAGCAGTTTTTCCTGCAGTATTAAACTTATGTACAAATGGGTAGAACAGTGCACAGAAGCTAATACGTATGCAGTCCACTTCTAATTCTATTTAATTCAAACCTTAAGCGTAGGTCACTTTGTAACAGACAGCTGCGACAAGATCCATCATTTTATTTAACACCTCGACAACTAAATCTTTTTAAGGATCCTCTCCGATGACTTTCAGTAGTTGAGGAAAGAAGCTGTACTTCGTTAGAGACTTGAGCATCAGTTCAGAATTCTCAGCTGGTAACAGAACCTATATAAGAGGGGGAAACTGTTTGATTGGTAGAAGACTTGGTGGTACCTTGCCCATTACCATTAAATTTTGTTTTTCTGGAGACCTAGGATGACTTTGTGTGTATAATCTATCTCTCATCAAAATTGTTCCAAAATTTCAAGCGAATTGATTTCTTGAAGCTTGTCGTGGCAGAAGCCTCTTGGAGTCTAGTGACTTTGAAATGTTCTGCAGTTTTGATTTTTAACTTCTTCGCTCTTTTTCAGGCGAAGAACATTGGTTGCCATTGGTACACATGACTTGGATTCAATAGAAGGTCCTTTCACATATGAGGTATGGCCTGACAGAGACCTTGATATGTTCTTATTGTGATATGATTTCAAAACTTTTATTCTTTTTGTATAAAATATTATTATTGTCAGACTGCAATTCATTTCTCCTTCTCGGTTCTGATTCGCTCGAAAAGGATTAACTGACGAGTGACGAATTCAAAATGCTCAGTAGATCTCACACTGTGTTTAGTGACAATTACAATTTATCCTTTCGGATACTTTATGTTGTGAATTTATCTTTTCACAATAGATGGGGAGGATGAAAAAGTGGAACTTGCAATCTTGAATTTTGATTCTAATTTTGTTCTGGATTTTTAAATTTCAGGCTTTGCCTCCTCGAGAAATCAAGTTTGTGCCTCTGAAACAGGTGAATATTAAGTTTATGTAGAAATTTCAAATTTCTATATTGACAAATATGAATTAACTGTAATTAATTGTGTAAGTCATGAATGCTGAATCAAAGGCAGGGATCTGGCAGATACTTTATAATGTGTCCAATTATGATTCTTTTATGACTTTATCGTTTGCGGATATATGAAACTTTAGTTTTGCTTCTTCTCTTGTTTTTGGTCAAGCAAATACAAATCCTGTCACATAGTTAGAGTTGGTGGTTGAAGTTAAAAGGCTGTAAGATATGGCTGTCTCATACTTATGCCTTCATAGAACTGCTTGCAATTTAATATCATCTCTCCTGTATTGCTTGACTGTGGAAGTTGTGTCTTGTCTTGTAGTGAACTTCCTTAGGAACGTGGGCATTTTCAATTGAACATGTAATTGCATTGGGTTACCAAATCAACTTATTTGCTTTTTATTTATGTAGTATGTTACTCTTTTTCCAAGTATTCTACCTGGGATCTGTTGTTAATATGTTGTGTTTAATATTTCTTTCCTTAGACGAGGGAGTTTGCTGCTGATGAGCTTATGGAATTTTACCGGGTAAGTACTGAACTTTGGTTCCTCGATCTTCAAATCGCACACTGATTGCCCCTGGACCATGCAATGGTTCTTTTGATTGATGTTATTCTGGTTCTGTGCTCATGCTGCCTGATTTTCAAAGTTTACTTGTATTGTTTATCTTTTGTTGCAGCGAGTTAACTATTGTCTTTCTTCTTTTGTGCAGTCGGATCAAAAATTGAAGAAATTCTTGCACATTATTGAAAACTCTCCTGTGTTTCCTGTTATATATGATCGGAATAGGTATGTCCAGTTCATGATTATGCTAACATTTGTACACTGTATGTATGAAAAGAGTTTGTTTCAGCCACAATGGTATGCAATTGATGAAGACTCTTTGACATTTTCTGCAACTACTTTCCTGTTGGAGCAGTTTGTGGTTTGTTTTTACTTTTTATTGTTGATGATTTCTCATGTTTAATCATCTGATGGTAGTCTCCTGTTGCTATTTCCATTGTATATTTTTTGGCTCTTAGTACCTTGTAATAACTTGGTTGACATCAATATTGATGTATGTAATATCAACATAGTGACCTATTGAATTTTCTGCTCTTTGGCTTTCTGTCTTTCTGTGATTTATTTTGAGAAATTATGTTCTCAATGTGTTAAACAGAACGGTTTTGTCTTTACCCCCTATTATCAATGGCGCCCATTCTGCAATCACTTTAAAGACGAAGAATGTGTTCATAGAATGCACTGCCACTGATTTGACGAAGGCTAATGTCGTTTTGAATACAATGGTGAGCTGAAGGCATATTGTAGAATTCTTATTGTGTTTGTTTGGGTTGTCAAGCTTTATACATTTACCTCATTTTCAGGTGACAATGTTCTCCATGTACTGTAAAAACAAGTTTGAAGTTGAACCAGTGAAAGTAATTTATCCTGATGGCAAATCCCATTGTTATCCAGATCTATCTTTGTACCAAATGGAGGTGCCGTTATCATATGCAACTAGTATAGTTGGGGTTGACTTACCTGGAAATGAGGTAGTCTAGTCTAAGATTTCTTATTCTAGATCTTCAAATTGGTTTTCTATTGTTTGTTGGTGCCCTGTGACTCAAGATTGAAATTGGTCAAGTTTTTCTTTTACTATTCAAATTGGTTTTCTTTTGTTTGTCGATGCACTATAAGTCAAGATTGAAACTTTCTGTCTCTGATACCTTCTGTTCCTGTCTGAATTCTGAATAATGCTATGTAGTTTCCTTGTTATATCTGTGTGATAAATATGGGTTGAAGTACTTAACTTCTTAAACCTGTACTTATTTGCCATTCAGATGGTGATGGATGTTTGTACTGTCTTCTGAGTGGAGATTTTTAAAATATAAGCAGCAATCATGGGAATACTTCTCGCTTAATTAGGAGTATAGCATGTTGAAGAATCAGTTTATTTGTAAAACCGAGTTTATTATATGCTTCAATTCTCCTCAGATCTGCATAATCTTATTTGTAATTTTAGTATAACTGCAGAAATATGTTAACCAGCTTCTGAAGTTGATCAAAGTGTAGCCAAGTCCATTGATATGTTTAGGTTTTGAAATTTTGGCTGGTCGGGATTGGATTTCAATGTATTCTATTGCAAGCCTGTTTTGTCATGAAAGGTTCTTTAGAATTATGAATTTTTGAAAAGTGGTAAACACCTTTTGCTGCTTTCTTAACAAGAAACTAGTCGAAGCAACTAGGGATATCTCTGAAGTTTTGATTGATAGCTGGTGGAATGTGCCCCTGGTTGGCTGTAGGTTAATATGTAATCACTATAATGGCAAAGACTCTGTCCCTTTTCCACTTATGCTTATGATGACTGATACTGAAGACGCAACATGATAAATTGAATATGCAAAATTAGGACCTTAACTACTCGTTCCATCCCACAATTTTTGTCCTATTTCTGAACTCTTCACCCCTCACCCCCACTGCCGCCCCAAAAAAAGAGATTTTTTCACATTTTATGTCAATTACCTTTATGTTAACCTTTGACACTAAAATAATATGATATGCGTGATTTATGAATTTGATGTAAATCTATAAATTGAAGAAAAACTAATAAATAGCTCACAGTTTTGTGTTCTATATCGCAAAAATTGTAATTTGTACTCTGTTAAAACGTATCTCGACTTATGGGACAGAGGGACTATATTGTCTCAGATCCCTGTGCTGTTTCAGTTGATTTGCACTGATTTATAGTATGGGCATTCTGTGCTGCTGTTGTAGTTTGTCGTGGGATGTAGTTTTACTCTTTCTTGAATGATCTGCTAAAGCTTGGTGAAATTTCAGGTGGCCAGTTTATTGATGAAAATGCAATTACATGTTGAGGAGTCTGCATCAAGAGATAATGTTGTTGTGTCTGTACCTCCCACAAGAAGTGATATTCTGCACCCCTGTGATGTGGCTGAGGTACTTTCCTGGTTATTTTGCGCAGTGACTGAATTACAGAATTTTTTTCTTTTTGATTAGGTGAAATGACACCAATTAATTTTTTCTTTCTTTGAGGATGTGGCAATTGCATATGGTTACAATGCGATACCAAAAAGAATACCTTCATCTTTATCGCCATTTCTATTGAACCAGTTCGGTGATCTGATGAGATCGGAGGTACATGTTTCTTAGCATTTTCTTCTTATAATCTTAGCTTCCTTTTTCTTTTTCAGTAGCCAGCTTGATATTTAATGACTACATTTGCCCTCTTGAAGTTTAAATGAAGAAAAGTTTACTATGCATGGTATAGTTCAGTGTTTCGTAGGAAACTAGAACAGGAGAAACAACTGATTATGGGTAACGAACAGAGTGAATCTGCTTTATCCTGAAGATTCTGAGAAATTAAAAGTTGCTGGGGCTTTTAGATTACCATCCACTTTCAAACAACTTTACTGAGGCCGAGCGTATGATAAATAGTGTTAGTTGCTAGGAACTCTAAATGATCCAACTACTGCTAATGTTTTTTAGCATATATCCACATGGATGGTCGATGAATGTTCAGGTATGAAAGCTAGATTTTTTGGGTAAGATTATCCATGTAGTGGTTTGTGTAATTGAGTCTCTGGGAAAATGTCTTGCAACACCCTTGTTTTGGCTTTGAAGAAGTTTTATTGTTTAGATAAGGATATCAACAGGTTGGCATTTAGTTTGTTCACTCACTGTGATCGTTTGCTTCTTTGGTTATGATGGTATTAGATTGCGATGGCTGGATTCTCGGAGGTGCTAAATTGGATACTCTGCTCTCACAAAGAAAATTTCACCATGCTGAACCGGAAGGATGATAAAAAGACAGCAGTAATTAATGGGAACCCTCGCTCAGCTGATTTTGAGGTCGGTTTGTGTTTTTCTGGTAATAAATTTATCTGATCATGTTGATGTTACCGTTGGAAACTTTTCAGAATATTTTTTCCCTGCCAAATGATTTGTTTTCAATTCATTATCTATCAATTTGCATAATGAAGTTATCAGAAGTGAAACTTTTGCTCTGTGTATTGGATCTTTCTTTCAGTTCTCAACTAAACATGACCTTTCAGGAATTTTAGTTTTTGGTGTACATTTTGCTATATGGCTTTTAGGTTTAAAGTAAAAAAGAGAGTAATTTGAATCCTGTGGGTTTAGGAAATTTTTGTTTTTGGTGTACATTTGTTTAAATGACTTTTTGGTTTAAAGTATAAAAGAGGAACACAGGTATATATTGGAAGCTCCACATCACTTCTTCTTGGCATCACATAAGCTTATAGGGAACTTTTCAATTCATGTTTCCAAGAATGTGTTCAGTTCGAAATTTTTGTACCAGTTATGTAAATGGGACCTGATGACCACTGATTACTCTTTGCTGTGTGACATGAGTGTGTTTTTTTTCCCAAGCTGATGGGGTGTTGGTAGTTGTTATGAGGGAATCCTCAACGAAGCATTTTCACAGATTGTCTCTTGGGCACTTCTAAGCTCATCTTTGTTGGTATCTTGTTTGGACTGAGTAACTAAAATATAAAAGCCCTGTTGTGGTTTTCATGTCTTTTGCATTGGTGATATTGCAAGAGTTTGTTTTTGAACTTGCTATTCTAGATCAACAAATTTCTTTTTATTTGCTCAGGTACTGCCATGTTGGTTTTTCTGCGTGATGAACTTTTTTATCTTTGTAGGTGGTGCGCACCAGTCTTATGCCTGGCATACTGAAAACTGCTGGTCACAATAAAGATCACCCAAAACCCATTAAGGTATAGATTCATTATAGCTCTTCTTTTGCTGTGCTGACAATGTAATTTTACATAATCCTGGTCTCATGTCTTTAGAATAATTTAGTGACATTGATCTATCTACCCTTTTTTCAGCGAAATAGTCCTGTAGTCGGATATGAATTTCTAAAGTATAACGTCAAATTATTTTAGAGGTCCATCGTTATATCATCTTTTGAAGCCTATGCACGATTCTCATTTGAATTGTTTTGATTTATCAGATGGTTGTGCTACTTTAAGCTCTCCTATGTAGATATTCCAAGTTCCAAACTACCTTATGCATGCATCTCTTGTTTTCTCATCTGTTGGAGCTTTGGCCATAATTTCTCCTTTCAAAATTATTATTGATTTTATCCAGTCTAGTGTGGGGTTCTAAAATTTTCTTATCTGCTACTCATTTTTTGTGCATGTTTGTGTGTAATGGACCTACCATAAAGTTTTTGGCTGATTTATCAAAATTTTCGGTTAAATTTCAGTTATTAGCAGTAAACGAATTTGTCTGATCATTGAAACTTAAATTTTCTTTCCCTTGGGTGTTTCAACTTTTGTTCGATTTGTGTTTGCAGTGACTGTTCCCTTTTTTAACTGATTAGTCATGTAGGAAACCAGTGGAATTCAAGTTGTTTTTTGTATTCTTCTAATTATTATTGTATCCCTACCATTATATGTATTCAAAGAATGAACTAAATATGAAGTGTGAAACAGATATTAGATCTTTGCATGTTTTGTGAGGAGATATAGTGTAGGAGGGGAGCAACTTTGGCCCTCCTTTCTGTTCTTATGTGGCTGAGATATCCTGGTTGAAAAATAAGAATCCTGACACCGTTCTATAATAGTTCGCATTGCTTCACTCTGTATAGCATACCTTTTTCTATGTATCATTTGAGTTCTGAAAACCTGAAAAATTTAGTTGTCGGGAATTTAATTTGAAAATTGGGGGATTGAGTGATCGCATCTGGTGGACCAGACTGACTACATTGATCATTTTTTTTGGGCGGGTTTGAGAGGGGGGGGGGGGATACAACTACATTGATAATTTTGTTTGTGTGGGTATTCTGTTAATTACTTCTTTAGGTTAACTCTTTCATGCTTTTCAGTTATTTGCCTTGTAATCTTTTCTCGCAGCTTTAACTTTTCTAACACTCACTGTATTTAGATATTTGAAGTTGGTGATGTCGTGCTATTGGATGAATCCAGAGATGTCGGCGCTAGAAATCAACGTCAGTGCGCTGCTTTGTATTGTGGTGCTAACTCCGGGTTTGAGGTAAGTGATCATTTGTCCACATTGTCTTTGTCACGTAGAGGCTTCAAAATTCAGATGAAATTAAATCCTTCAACTAGTAGCCTTTGATTTTCAAAACTAATTTATTTTGGGAATCTCTGACTTCTATTTACACATCGGGGTGATTAAATTATCTTTTTTTTTCTTTTGATCTGTAAAATTATGTTGGTAAATGGTCATTTATGAGAATGCTGTAATAGACAGTATGGGATTGAATCTCTTGGCACGAAATTGTGAATCTTTCTGAAATTATGTTCCAAGAAATAAGAGATTTGAACCAATCTTGACTGTTAGGTTTTCTGTAAATAATATTTCCTGTGAAACTCTGTGAAGAGGATTAACTCAGGCGTGGCTTGAACTAGTTTGATGTTGGTGTGTTACTCTACTCAAAAGGCTACATACTTATGGCTCCAACAGAGTTCTCAACCTAGGTAGTTATTATAATAGGATTATTTTATTAGAGAATTATTAAGTTTAAAGTCGGCTTAAACTGAAGCTTCAATTCTTCCAGAGCTCATACCAATGTTGAATACTTGTGATCAGACGATGTCTAATCAAGGTCTTTCGTTCTGACACTAGGTTCCTTTTCTTCAAATATATGGTTTTAATCTTTTCAAGTCCAAAGCAGTATTGGTTGTGGTTTTTTTTTTCCTATTTTTATACTTTGATCAGTTACAATTTCTTTTCTTCTGCAGTTGATACATGGTCTGGTAGACAGAATCATGGAAGTTACTGGAACAGCTTTTGAAGAAACACCTGGGGACAACACTGGTTATTATATCAAAGCCTCAGATGTAAGCGGTTTTATATTCAAACAGTCGAATTTAGTTTCCCAGTATCGTGATTGTTCTTTATTATCTATTGCAGGAGCCTGAATTTCTTTCGGGTAGACAAGCCGACATCATTTACAAGGGGAAGAAGATAGGCACTTTCGGTATTGTTCATCCTGAGGTATGTTATTTACATCAAAAGTAAATTCTCGCAGTCAGAATGTTTTAGACCTTATTACATCTTGGACTTGTATCTATAAAGTGAAATGTACAAAGCTTAACTTGCAAGGTTGAAGGGACTACTGTTGAGTAAACTTCCATTTGACCGCCTTAAATTTCATACTGGACAGATTATTTGAATTCAGCCGGTTTTTACTTTGCTTTTCTGATGATATATAATCTTACTGCACATATTCACCACCCATGCACTGTTTCAACTGGTTGAAAATCTACCTCGAGCTTCTCTTTATTCTGTTGGTTTCTGGGTTGCAATAATATCTAATGTTTATTACTTCTCTTGTGGGATTTCAGGTATTGAAAAACTTTGACATTCCAGATCCATGCTCTTTCGTGGAACTGAACTTGGAAAGCTTCCTATAGAGGGTTATTTCCTTCCGGTTTTCTTGGAGTTCTTTGTTCGTCCGAGATTTTTGGATCTGTCAACTTTTATGGCATCAGCTACACTGCCAAGGTGAAAAATTTCGACATTCCAGATCCATGCTTGAAAACTTCAGTGAAGTTAAAAAGCGTATTGATAATTGTAGTGGTCATAATGAATTCGATAGGATTTACGGGGTACGGTTTGATATCTTATTCGGTGGAAGTACGAACAACGGATATGAGATATTTGACGATTGGCATTCAATGATCTTTTCTTCTTGTTAATGCTTCTGCAAAACAGGTCTCCTGCTAATTTATGGTCCGTCGAATTTTAATGGTCCAGTTTCCGCAATTACCTTTTTTCCACATTAAGTTTAAGAATCCTTGAATGATTGGCTTAATTTAGAGTGGGTTCCAAATCAATTTCAGGTGGAAGGTTTTATACGAAATCTGGGGTTCGCTTGTATCAATGCTCGTTAGATTTTCCCATTAGGGACTGTTTTCAGACCAGCGACATTCATCTGAAAACACACTCCATTTACCTAATTACATAATAATGTTATATATAAGTCATTTCTTTCACTCCAAACTTATTCAGGCAACATGACTTTTTAACACATTTCATTTACAACTCAGTAAGTACTTCTATTATAAAAAATTTGTTTTTTTTCCTTAGCTACAAAAATTCGAGAATCTGCTGAGGTGATGAAGAACATCAATTTGCTGAGGTGAAAGGTAAACATAAATTCGACTGAAGACTACAATAACATTTATGAAGTTATTATATAATCATCGGACGGTTAAATTTCAATCACTTTTAAAAGTTGAAAAAAAAAAAACTAAAATCAAAATCGTTCCGAAATTGGAGACGGCCATGGGGTCTTATTCATTTCTTTAATATACTAGTGATGTCTGGTCGCGTCCTGGCCTAATATATCTATACATCTTAGAAATGTTTGTATCTGGAAAAAAAAATTTGTATTTAGCCCGATATATTTTAGAAATGTTTGAAAAATTTAGAAATGTTTTATAAGTGTGATCATAGAAATGTTTGTACTTGGCATAAAAAAAAATTGTATTTGACCAGATACGTTTTAGAAATGTTTTAAGATTTTAGAAATGTTTTATAAGTGTTACTTCTTAGATATAAATAAACTTGATCAAATATATGTCTTGAATTAAATGCTAGACAAAATATAAAAGTATCCTAATAAGTTTAAATATTAGTAAGATAATTTATTGATGTTTTCTAGTTGTGCCAAATCAATACTTAGTTTTGGAGATTTATAATAGCTTTGTAGTAAGCTTCCTCCCAAGGGTATACGCTTAATTGTTGAAACTATTTCTTCCAAAAGTTTATAAGTAGTAAAATATCAAAAATATGATTTTTGAAACTGGTTAATTGATGAAATTGATTGATCACAAATATGAGAATGAAAATAATGTAAATTTGCATAGGTTTCAAGTTATACCAAAAAAGAACTTACCTTACCATGGCAAATAAAAAAAAAAAAAGAAAGTAAAAGATAGCTCATTTAAAATTGAGAAATTTATTTTTTTCCTGTAGGTAAAAATGTTGTATAAAAATACAAATAAATGTAGAAACATCATTCGTTCCCTCTCCGCCTCAAATTCATAAAAGGCTTCCTCAGAAATTAGTTAGAAGAAGCGACCTGAACTATTTAGATGATGAGAAATTAAAAAAAGTCCAAAAACCAAAATTTAAAAAGTATATTCTTGAAAGCCCGAACACAAAAAAAAAGCGCTTTATTTGCAAATAAAATAAAATAATAATAATAATAATTGGTCAACTGGGAGTATGAAACAAAATAAAAAACAATTAAACAAAGACAAAACACACTTCGTAACTGACCATATACGAAAAAAAAATTGAGACTCCATAATTAAAAAAAGAAAACCACTCTAATTGAATGAAACATTAAAAAGAAATTTAAAAAACCACACTTTGTAACAAAAACTCAATTAATCAATTCAATCCAAATAGAACTAAAATCATACAAAACTTCTAGGCTAACTAAGTATATAAGAAATCACATCATATTACCTGACAACGGCTACGGTAGCTGTAACGGATGGACGCATAAAAATAATAGTAATAACACTATTCTTGAACGGGAAAAACAAAAAATAATAAAAGCCAAACAAATGATCTGTGGAAATAAAATCATTTAAATTTTAATACCTGTAATTGCACCACCACAACAGCCAAAACAAGATCAATGAGAATTTTTTTTTTCCTTTCTGTTTATATAGAAAGGTAAAGAGAATATTTTTTGAAGTCGAAATTTTATCTGATCAGGATGTAATTGATCACCACTAATGAAAAGATTGAACATGTTAATAGAAAATGAGTATATTTCACCACATATTCTCAATTGATGATTGACGAGGAATTTGTTTTTTTTTTTTTTTTTTTTCACTGTGGAGAAAGGATTGATTAGAGAGTCGATTGTCATGGAGATGGGGATAATGATTTGGATTTTTTATGAACCCGTCTTTTTTTTTTTGTTTTGGCAAAAATAGGGGATGGAGGTGGATTTGGAGTGCATTTGCCTTTTAAGTCTAGGAGATGTGAAAATAAAGATTTATTTTAAAAATATGATGTGGAATTGCCACATGGCAAATAGTGGTGCTTTCTCTTAAGTGTGGTTTTTGTTTCTAATATAGTAAGATATATATAATATTACTTACCATCACTGATTCCTTAGGTATCATAAATTTAAGAATTCTTGAACGTTCGTCTAATTTTGAGTGGATTTCAAAATATTTTCAGATTTGAAGGTTTTTCGCGTTGTAATGTTTGTTATACTTCCCCATTTGGATCTATTTTTAAGCCAACGAAATTCATCTTAAATACATTCTCTGTTTACACAAACTACATAGACGTAGTACATTAGTCAATTCATGCACTCGAAACTTATTCCATATCATGCAACATGATTATGTGTCTGTTTGTTAAGTGCATTAGCCCCAGTTATAAATAATTAAATCTCCACAAAATAAGAATAAAAAACAAAAAGAAAAAACATATTGAGAAAAGAGAAAGGATCAAAAGGTTAAGTATTAGTTCTTGAATATTTCATTATGAACATTCTTGCAGACAACTACAAATTGATAACACTACGATCCGATAATAAGTGATGAATCATGAGAACCATATGGGAAGGGAAGTTAATTAACATGGATAATTCATTCATCTGTTATCATACATTATTGTGAAATTAATATTTTTTTGACTCCAACTTCTATCCATTTTTCACACATTCCGTGTAGAAACAAATCAGTACTTTGCCTGCCTTCAATTATATACCGACTAGCTAGCATTTTAACATTTACCCAAAATATTGCTTCTGATGAATTGGTTGTTTATTGAATTAGCTAGACGAAAGACTTCTAGTGTAGGAAATTTGTCTCTTAGCAACAAACAGAAAATTGAGAATTCGTAAACGAGATGATGAATATCAATTCTGGCAAATTATTCTAGTATAAATGAATGTGAGCATGCTTTAGCCAAATATCACCACAAACCACAAACATAAAACAAAGGGTCTGAAGAATATGGCTGCTAGATTAGCTAAGTTAATCCTAGTCTTCTACGTCCTTTTTGGGTTACATTTGGTCAGCAAATTCAATGGAAGCGCTGCTGATGATCATTTGGATGAAGAAAGGCAGGCAAGTAAATTTCAATAATTTTTTTTTTTTTTCTATTTCGTCAAAACATTAATTTTTTGAAGGCTGAAACTTTCTTTTGTAGCTTTACTTACCATGGGATTGCTAAAATTAACATGCAGTTTCTTTCTTCTTTGTTGATCATGACTACAGATTTATATTGTTTACATGGGATCCCTTCCCGAAAACAAGGAATATTCGCCTTCATCACACCATCTCAGCATACTTGAAGAAGTTATAAACAGCCGGTATATTATGTATTATTAACCCACGATTGCATAAGTGTCAATCTAGCTCATAGTTATTTTTTTTTTTCTTTCTGTTCCATTGTCATTTTTATGGCATTTTGTTTGATGGAAGGTTTGCGGAGGAATCCTTAATAAGAAGCTACAAAAGGAGTTTCAACGGATTTGCTGCATATCTCACAGAGGAAGAGAGTGGGAAAATGGCTGGTAATCAATATATAAGAGAGTAGTACTAGTTAATCTCATCTGAATGAATATTTTTTAGTTCATGATTTTACAAACCCTAATGCGCGCTATCGATAAAATGATGGCAGAGCGGGGTGATGTGGTTGGGGTGTTTCCAAGTCAAGAGCGGAAACTTCATACCACAGCTTCTTGGGACTTCATGAAGTTTGAAGGGGAGGTGGACTGGAATCCCGACATCGAAAGTAAAACCATTATTGGAGTCATTGACACCGGAATCTGGCCGGAGTCGAAGAGTTTCGATGACAATGGTTTTGGTCCTGTGCCCAAATCCTGGAAAGGAGCTTGCGAAGGCGGCTATAATTTCAGTTGCACCAAGTAAATAAATAATTCCCTTCTCTCTTTATCCCTATTTAAGCACCACCATATATGATGTCACACTTTTCCAGTGTAATATATTTAGTTTGATGATATCAAAATTTGCAGGAAAATTATTGGAGCGCGCTATTACCTTAGCGACGAAGGAGAAGAAGGTTCTGCGAGAGACTACAATGGCCATGGAACCCATACTGCCTCTACAGCAGCTGGAAATCAGGTCGTAGACGCGAGCTTTTATGGAATTGGAAAAGGTATAGCCAGAGGAGCGGTTCCATTAGCTAGACTAGCTGTCTACAAAGTTTGTGGATCAATTTGTAGGGATGATGGAATCCTGCCGGCGTTTGATGACGCCATTGCTGACAGTGTAAACATCATCACGATATCGATCGGAGCGGATTTTCCAATTGACATAACAAAGGATACTATAGCCATTGGGTCATTTCACGCGATCGAACAAGGCATTCTCACAGTCCATTCGGCCGGTAACACCGGGGGTGTTCCAGGAGCAGTTTCGAGTGTTGCGCCGTGGTTGTTCACGGTTGCTGCGAGCACCATGACTCGCAAATTTGTCGCGCCAGTTGTCCTTGGAAACGGAAAGACATTGAATGTACGTACTCACTAGTATTTAAAAACACATTCTTTTTCCCACCATATACATAATTTGCTTCCTTATATATGGTCTGGTTTCTCTCGTGTTACACGTACAGGGCAATGGAGTCAACGCTTTTACGTTGAAGAATGGGACGACTCAACTTCCACTTGTGTATGGACAGCAAGCTTCGACAAGATGTTCAGCCTTCGAAGCAGAGTAGTTCATCCATTCTTATTATATATTCATTAGGCCATCACGGTCACATTTTTTTTCAATTACTAAAAGCATATTACATTAATTAATTCATAATTGGTTTAATTTGCAGGAGGTGTTTTAGTTGGTGCCTCGACAGAGATCTTGTGGAGGGAAAGATTGTCGTTTGTAACAACAATATCAGCCTATTCACTGTTCTCGAAGTTAATAGAACCGGCGGCGTTGGTGCAATAATAGTCGATGATGAGCCTCAAGTTGCTTCCGTTACCAATTTTCCATACTCACGTCTTAGTCTTCGGGAGTTCCAAGAGGTTGTTGACTATATCAAGTCCACTAAGTGAGTGTTTCTTGACATTTTTACGCATTTTGAAATGACTCATAATTATATTTGTCCGAAGAGATTGAGCTGTGGTAACACCACTGATTGATGATGTATTCATTTATATCAAGTCCGCCATGATTCTTCGTCACTGAATTATTCATTTTTGCATTATTTCTGCTTTGATTTCCAGAACACCCACAGGGAACTTGTTAAAAACTAAAGCTATAGAAGATGGTAGTGCCCCAAATGTTGCTTTTTTCTCCTCCAGAGGGCCCAATAAACATTTCCCAGACATTCTCAAGGTAATATCATATAGTTAAATGTAACCCTTGCACTTGGTAGTAACAGTAACTACTAGTCCCAATCCCAATGTTGCAAACCGCAGCCAGATATTACTGCTCCCGGAGTTGAAATCCTGGCAGCTTTTTCGCCGGCTGGAAACCCTTCCGACACTCGGGCTGATGACAGGTCCGTGGACTACTCTATATTAGATGGAACATCAATTTCATGTCCTCATGTCACTGGCGCAGCTGCTTACGTGAAATCAATAAACCCCAACTTGTCTCCATCCGCGATCAAATCCGCTTTAATGACTACAGGTTAGATATGTAACACACTTTTTCTGCCGTGACTTTTTACAGGATATATACTTCTTGTACATACTGGAGTAACTCCTTTAATTTTCTCCATGACAAGCTTTTGCGATGGACAAAACCGACTCGTACTATGGGGATTCCGAATTCGGATACGGAGCAGGACATCTAAATCCTAGGAAAGCTCCATATCCAGGACTTGTGTACGAGATATTACCTACAGACTACGTCAAGTGGATTTGTGGCAAGAATTTCTCTACGGAATTGAACATCAGCTGCGCCGGAGTGGTTCCGATCCAAGACGAAGACCTTAATTATCCCACAATGAGTGCCAAAGTTGTGAAAGGCCAGCGTTGTAAAGTCACATTCCGGAGAACTGTTATGAATGTCGGTCAAGCCAACTCAAGTTACAAGGTCATAATCCCACTATTCTCTCCGCTGGATACTACTGTGGTTCCGTACATTTTATCTTTCAAAGCGCGCTATGAGAAAAAGTCATTCATGGTGATTGTTGAAGGTACCGAGTTTGAAGGGTTCACTTCTTCTTCAATTGAGTGGTTTGATGGCAACCATCATGTGAGAAGTCCAATTGTTATATTCACAGATTAATCCATTGGTACCATTTCAGGGTTCAAGAGTTATGTGTTTCAAATAATGAATTATAATTTGCTTGATCAATAAAGTTGTATACTTACGAGGTTCCTTATTTACAAGAATTACAATTGAAGGGTGCATTTAATTAGTGTGGAAGATGTCTTTCTTCTTTTTCTCCTTCTCTTGCTTCAAAATCAATTTCTTTGTATAAAGGAGCTAGCTGTTGTGTTTAATTATCGATAATGGAGAAGGGAAATTTTCACTCTGTTCTTCTGCTGCTAATCTATTAATTAACTATAGCTTGCGGCTTCACATGGACTGAAAAATTTTCAGAGTACACAAAATATTTTTGTTTCCAGCTTCTTTCTTTCACATTGTATACCATAACTGAGACATCATGATGAAACCAATAGAATCCACCAAGTCGGAATAAAATGTGAGAAATTTCGGGCTTTGTATTTTCTACTCTATCAGCTGGTGGACGTACATTGAATTAGCTACCCAGGGGGTCCAATTACATGTATATCTTGTTTATATTACAAAATTTGCGCCATAAATTTCTCACTGATATATCTTGTTTAATCAAACACTAGATATGAAGAGTCCTTCATTAGAGCACAGTTTGGAACTTTTGGTTCCGTCATTGCATGCCAGAACCATTATACTTCAAAGCCAAATAAGTTACTTAATAGAATAAAACAAGCAAGAATATTTAGTTGTGAAGGTCACAGTAACTTTTTTTACTCATCCTTTTTAATATTGGGTTTCCAAGTGGTGACCGTTTTCAAGTTTAGCTATTGAGGAGTTGACACGCGTGCAAATATTCACCTTCTAACGTTCCGAAACATACTCACGAAGGTTCGTGTTGGCAAACACCCACTCATGTGACGTCCTCTAACACGCTTCAGTCAACTTAAATCCTACCAAGGAGACTTAGATGAACGTCTGCCCAGCTCGCGCCAAGTCTCACATATAAAATACTAAATCAAAATTTTTAAATCAGGTACGGAAGCATAAAACATTTAATAAAGAGATATTGTTTGTTATTTTTTTTCAAAATTCTAAAAGAGTAGTTTAAAGAGCTATCAAATCCATCCAAACGTTTAAAACTAAACCTGTCTCGAATGCTGTAAGAAAACTCAAAAGGAATAGAAACTACAAAACGTAAAGAAGCTAGCACAATTAGATTCAAAGAGTTGAGAAGACATGTAAAGGCATGGAAACCATGGAAAAATGCCCAAAATCTAAGGCAGATGGATTATTTACATTTCTGAAGATTTGAAAACCATTCTTTAACATCCAAATTCCTGTAAAATAACCAATTTTTAAAATAATAAAAATCACTCTAAAATACAATACATCCCAGATTTTACTAGCTATATCCTTCTTCCATTTGTTCATAATTCACCACCATGTCCCTAAGCTAACGCCCTCACCAATGGGACGTGCGGAATAATAGGTTACTGTGTTCCCCACAATTTAAAAGAAACAGTTCACATACAATCACACCATTTCACATGCACGCAAGCATCAAAGACATAAATTGTATCACACGCATGAGCAAATAATTTTTCGGTAACAACGCGACTTTGCAAGAAGACTCCACATGCAACTCGAGACATAGTCAGATCACACAGCAAGCTAGAGGTCTCCACATAATAATCACGAGCCAAGGACATAGCTAGATCACACAGCAGACTAGAGGTCTCAATGGCCCCAAACACTTCTAATTCAGGGCGCCACACTACGCCAAGAATCAACCACGGACCGTAGTCCCTAACAATTTCCGATCCAAGGCGTTGCAATTTCACCAAGGTTCAACCCAAACAATTTTTCGGACCAAACGATACAGCACGCAAGGCCCCAGAGAGAATCACGGACCGAAGTCCCACATATTGATGGGTGTCAAATCTACTAAGGAAATTTACCAACTTAATACTATAGATAGCAGTAAGTCGGATCAAGTCCACAGGGACGGCAGTGACTCCAAATAACCCAAATGATTCAAGAAAAAAATAGTGGAAATAGTAAAATGGAAATAGAATACTGAATTGTCACTTTGGCGAGTAAGAAATGTCACTTGGCAGAGTGAGCAAATAGAAAAGGAACCTAGGGTCGTCTTCTACTCCTCTCTGTACAATTGTGTTATGATTTTACTTGCTCCTTTTTGTCATATGATCTATGCTTGATCAGGCACATCTACTCTTTATAATTCCTTCCAGACAAAATAAAGAGTCCTAGATTATCTAAATTACCTTCCAGTCAGAGTAATTCATTAACCTAAGCCGTTCAGTTCTTAAGCCTCATATGATCACCTATGCCAATGCACCTAACTTCCGTTGACGATTGAAACCAAAGGGTAGATTTCCTCCTTTGTCATATACTAGATTAAGCAGTTCTAAGGTTATGCTCCCCTTCCAGATCTTCATAACCATGCAAGCACATTTAATTAAGTGGCCAAGTTAATTAAAAGGTTAATTAAAGCACTTAACTAGGAGCAATAAATCATAAAGGAGTATTACCAAAACATACTTGTATAGATAAGAAGGATTAGACCCTAGAGAGAGTTTAGCTACACATAACTACATATACAAATACACAAGGATACATTTCTAGGCATTAAATATCAATACAAAACAAGGAAACAACTAAGGGAAAGAGAGAAGAACTTAGGGAATTTGTTGCTGTCACCAAGTCACTCCCTCGAGTGAGTCTTCTCACTCTCCAGAGTGGCAACCAGAACCTGCCACCCTAGCTGCTTCTACACACTCTTTTGTGTTTTCATCTAATTCTCTTCCTATTCTACTTGGTTTTTAGATACTTGCAGCTGATTGGGAATATATAGGACTTGGAGGAGGTCACTTTTTACTATTTTGATCTCCACAAAATGAGCAACTTGGTAAGTTGTCAACTTGACAAGCAAGTAAAGCCATTTTCGCAAGTTGAGCAACTTGGCCACTTAGCAAGTTGCACAAGTTGAGCAAGTTGTCTCCACCTTCTTGTTGCCCTCTTTTTCAGCCACTTGATTAGCAACTTCCAATCAGCCTCCTTCGTTAGCTTCCAAGCTTCCTTAAATATGATTCTTGAGCTTCTTACTTGTGCGGCTCATTCTTGGTTTGCATGCCAACAACAAGAGCAGCAGTAGTCGCCAATCTGGCAAGTGACTTGCCCGAGTGACAACAATCTTCCACATCCTTGCTCTTCTATATTCTTTAATCCAGCAACTAACAGAAGCAGGGGCATTGAGCAGCTGCATCAGCAGTATGCTTATGTTCAATCATCATGTTCCCTCCTTCTGTCTTGTCTCAGCTGCCAATTTAGCCTCTTATATTCTGCTTTTCTTTTCCTTGTTTCCTGGGATCATCTGCAGCACCAATTCTTGCCTCCAGCAGCAACCATTCTTTCAATTCAATCAAAGGCAGCAGTAGTGCCAGTCAGCAGAGCAGCTGCAACTTTCTTCTTCATATTCTCTTTTTCCACTTGCAGCAACAGCAACTTGCAATGGCGGCAACAATCTTTTCCTTCGGCAACAATATTTCAGCTCCTATTTTCTCCTCTGATTGATAGAATCGACAGCAGCAACATCAGCAATCATCACAACAGCATCATTAGCAGCAACTGAGAGGCTGCTACTCTTTCCTCTCTTGGATTCCTGCTGCATAATGCAACAACTTCTGATCAAGTTGCAGCCATCTTTACTTCATCAGCAAGGATTCCTCCTCAGGTTCAGCTCCAATTGGTCCTTCCAGTCCTTGATTTTCAGCATCTCTAATTCTGGTCCTTTTTGAAGCTTTTTTTGCATATTTTGACCCCAATTTATGCTGATATTCAATATTGGCTCTCTGAGATTCTTGAACTGTAAAATCATCCTAAAAGTAAACTAATCCTAACTAATTGACACTAAATTATAAGTAAAAATGAGTAAGGAATACCTGCTAAAAGGGTACATATTTTTATGTTATCAGGTACCCTCAAACATGAAGTGTTGCTTGTCCTCAAGCAACAAACCCAAACTCAGAGATTTGCTGATCCTCTAGCAAACAAATTCATGCTACATTCCTACTGACCTAGACACAGAAGGACTGACTCAGAAAGAAGAAGTGATATTTTTTAAATTTTCATGGATAAAAGTAATGACAGTGAATGAAAAAGAGTGTGGCTAAATGAACAGAAGTAAATGCAACATTGTATCAATGTTATTCTCAGATTCAAGTCCCTTACTGGACAGATTATACACCATTGTTCATCGTAGAAAGGCAGAATCACAGTTCTTCAGTGTGTGTGTGCATATGTCACGGCCAACATTCAAGTTTTTACCTATAATCCATTCTAAGAATTAACCAATTTAAGAATAAATGGACATCATTGTGATCAGTACCTATTTCCTGCATGCCATCAACTAAGGTATTCTAACTGAGGTTTTTAGATTCTAAGGACTTCCTCACAGATTCTGCAGCAACATTGGCTGTATTTTATTTCTCCCTCAACCCTTTTTCTTCTTGTCCATATGGCTTTTCTTCTGGATCTTTCCCACTCAAGCCCCTACCCAGAGCATATTTCCACCTAATATTAATTCATGATGGCTCAGCAACTTAGGGTATTTCACCAGAGCATATTTCCACTCAATTCATAGTGGCTAAGTAACTTTGGGCATTTTACCCAGAGCATATTTCCACTCAATTCTCTATAGTGATTTCTCACAGTGGCTCAGCAACTTAGGGTAGTTTATTTATTTTTCTCATATTTCCTCACCAAGCCTGGGGACTCTCTCTACTGGATTGCAAGACCTAAACACTCAAGGGTATTACTGCCTCATTGGACAGTCTTCCTAACTTCCCGCATTTCAGAATTTTTCGTTTTAGCTCTATTCAACTGTCTACCGTTCCCTCTTTTCCAAGGTTTTTAGGCTTTTACAGACCACCATGGGCTCTTATAGAGTCTGCCATGATGCGAAGGGCTGCCTCAGTTTTCACTCAGGTTTACAGTCCCCCCAGGTTTCAAACAAGTGGACTTCAATATAAGGTCACAACAATGTAATTAAGGCATTCATATTTTAGCATTAAGTTCAGAACTCTCACTATGGCAAGTGACATATTGTGCTCGAGAAAGTGAAGAACTATGGGATTGACTTCAAGTGAATCAACAAGTGTCCAAAAATTCAAAATTTCCCACACACTTTTTAGTCATCATTAACTTTTGACAGAGTATATACATAAACTTGTTCACAGTTGCACACACACAAAAAAAAATTTTTTGGTTAGTTTTCAAAAATTGATGCTGTCAGAGTTTAAAACACACAAATTTAGACAAATTCCTCCC